TCATGTTAAATCATGAATTTCATCATTGCGCACATTGGATTACGGGTACCGTTAGCCAATAGTGCGACGCAGTTTCTCATGATTTTTCAAAGCCCACTTTGACTACGATATGCAATTGAATCTTTTTTTAAGATTTTTTTTTCAAATATTTTTTTTTGTTTTCAACATTCATTCATTGGCAGGAACAACAAATCGAACACATCAAATGTCGAAGAAGAATATGGACACATTTTTAGTTCTTACACTGGTAATCGTTCACAAACCGACCACAACGATGTCAGAACCCGGAAAATATGAATACAAAGGATCGGTAAGTTTTTTTGCATTGCATTTTCTTCATTGTGAAATGAATTTTAATTCTATCGTATCGAATTTGTATCGTTCAGTTTCTATTTTGCCCAAACTACGAACCGGTCCGCAATCGTATTCTTTCCGGCAACAGAAGTTAACTTTAGCATAAAGTTAAAGAAATGTATCTGCGGTCGTTCCCGGGGGGGTATGTTTCAATTCGAATCAATTTCATTGCTTTCATTTAATTTCATCTACTGCAATTTATGTTCATTGTTTGTTTTTCTGTTATTGTATGTATCTAGGTAGTGACCAGCAGACCCAGAAGTACTATTCTATAGTAAGCTAGTATTTTTTTTATTCTCTTCCACAGAATCGCGATTACAACTACCAAATCTCAATTCAAAGCAATTGCTGGACATTATTGTTGTTGTGGCTATTGCTTTGCAATTTTTTCATTATATGTTTCCGATTATTTTTCGATTATTTTCCGATTATTTTCCGATTACTTATCGATTATTTTAAATTTTATTCTTTTCTTTTGTGATTCTCCCCTTAGGTAAAAGCGTTAACTTTCAATGTTTAGAATTCCACGAATGCGACTCGCCTATTTGATCACCAAAATAAACCATAAACAAATCGTTGTCAAACCGAACTGTCAAAACATAAACCCATTTTGGGCTGCGTTCCATGGCTGTACGTTAATATGGTAAACAAAAAGTGGAGGTAAACATTGGAATTTAAATCAACTGGAATGTGGAAAGTGTGCCACTTTTCGCATGCTTCGTCAATGTACCATTGTTTTGATACAACGAAATATTCTTGCTTCAGCGATTCGCAATGGTGATGTCATATTTTTTTGTATTTTTTATTAATTTATAATCTTCACAGCAAACGCAGATTGTATTGGATTAGTGACATAACCCTAGCGAATGTTAAAATCAATACAAAATAAAATCTTTCTATTCGGATCGTTCCATACAAACTCACCAGAACGTAAACATTTACATATGAAGCTGAGCTGTTGTAAACGTTGGTGTGGTTTGTGGTTTATAACAATCTGGAATATTAACTGTATGCTCAGTTGAGAATACGCATTTGTCTCGAATGGACACGCGTTTGATTTTACTCTTGATTATTTCGCAATTAACTAAACAATGATTCGAGCGACAGTGGTTTTAGTGGGCATTCTCATGGTGTTGCAATCGAGTACGTTTCAATCGTTGGCGAAAGTTTTTCACTCGATTGTTATGATTTGATTTTTTTTTTTCAATTAAACTAATCGCAATAAAAATAAATAATTTGAATAATAACAAAAAAAAACGAATAAAAACAGCGGAAAATAATAAAAAAAGTATGTTTAAACCAATCTGTTATTTTATTGTAGGCGATGCCATAAAATGTTATGACTGCAATTCATTGAATAATTCCGGTTGTAGCGATGAGTTTAGAAATTTTTCTACTCGCATTTTGGATTGTGCGCAACATCAGCAACAACAGTATGATTTAAGACCCATCGAAAATTGCCGCAAAATTAAATACAAAGGTTGGAATTAGTGATACCGTTGACTGTGATCATGATCGATATTTTCCTTTTCATTTTAGAAAATGGTGCTTGGATCTATATACGTGGATGCGATTCTAAAGACAATTCACAAATTAAAAACGCGGAATATCATTATTGCAAAGAAAGTCTTTGCAATTCGGCAGACATTCATCGACCAACTATACTGTTTACGCTAATGTTTATATCGTTCTTATTCATTAAGTTAATGCGTTTTTATTAAACTAATCTAATTCGGCAACTGTGAAATTTAAATAAATTGTTTTGTTTTGTGACCAAAATTTAAAGTACCAAATATGAAAAGAACCAAAAAAAAAAAATCGAGGCGTCTTAATTTACATAAATACATTCTAAAGTAAACAGCTATCTTTAAATTACTGATGCAAAGTTAACATGATCGTACTAAAAATGTGGACGTTGTTGTATTCTTGTGGTCGAGTCCGCACGCTTGTGTAACATCGGTTTCTGTTTTCTCATTCTTTCATATTTATAACAACTTTGTTTTGTTTACACATTACACTGCTAGAAAGCCGATAGATTGATACAGTGTACGATCGGAACGTTCTTCCAAGGTTGAAGAGAGATTTTTAAAAGTCGTACACTGCATTTGAACAACAACAACAAGACACACACCAAACCGGTCACAAACTCTTAAATCAAATAAGTGCCGCGTCGAGAAATGTGTTACAAAAACAAGTTTCCATTTTTTTTTCTATATTTTTGCAAATAGAGGTTTTAACAGACGAATAAAAATAATGACACAACATCTTTATTTGGATATTATTCCTCCCAGAAACTTTTGAGCTATTTTTGAACAAAAAAAAATTAGCGGTAGAATACGTTATTGTATATTTTTTTCGAGTCGAATATTAAATTCCAAAAATAAGAATGACATCAAGATTGAAGCGAAACATCACATGAAGTTCAATGTAGAATTACACACCTAATAATGGTCGTATAGTCTCCATATTTCAGAGTGATTCTAATTTTTGATTGTCAATCATCCATCAAATTAAATTTAATAACTTTTAAATCAACCGCCAGCACATATGGATTATTTTCCTCATTGATTCAATGTTGCTTAAGTGTAGCAAATCTATTTGATTCTAACTCATCCAAGACATAAAAGGTTCTTTCAATACATATGTATGTAAATGGGCTATGTTATATTCACTTGGTTGAACAAAGTACGCAATTTAAATGATTTTTAGTTTTTTTTTATTAACCTTTGACTACTAATAATCGTTCCAACTTACTCTCTTGATGCTTTGTCGATGCGAAGCGTTTCTGCCTTAAATAGTCAGACATTTCAGAAGTTATATACTTTTAGTGTTATAAGAATATGTAAAACTATTTTTTTTTTCGTAGTAATCATGTTTTTTAAATCCAATTCATGCTTCTAAATATCATTTTATTAAAAATTTGTCTTTTTTTTATCGCTTTGGAATTAATAACATATTTGACGGCCTAAGAAGAAAACAATAACATACAGAATATTCTGCAAAAAGACGAATACAAATTTATGTGAGCAAAAACCAAATATACAAACAGACAGCGCAAAAGTAAAACAGCCTACTTACATGTGTTTCTTAAGAACATAATAATTATCATCTTAATAAAAATTTATTACGATATCGCAAAACGCAAAACTATAATCGTATCCACGTGCAATTTGAAAATATTAACTATTTATAAGTGTTTTTTATGTTTTGAGAATCATTTCTATTCAGTTGTCGAACTCAAACTGCTGACGATAATTTCGTTTTTCAAACTTTTTATACTAGCAGCAAAAAAAACGGTAAACCGAATATCCGGTTAAGATTCATTCAATCGCATCAGGTTGTAAAATGGAATCAATGACAGACAATGTCAATTGCAACAAATGTATTTCAAGTGATTTTTTCAACCTCGATCGTATTGACTCCAGTTTGAAGATATGGGCTCTGGGAAGGGGTTATTTCCGGTTTAAAACCTCCTGAGAGATTTTTGTTTTTAAATTAAATCATAATTTTAAGAAATTTTCGAAGATTGAACGATTTCACCACTACATATACATATAAATGACTTATTTGCAATTAAAGCATGAACATTTTACTTTCATTAATCTTTTATTCTTCAATCACAACAGGTATTTTTATTACAAACATCGAGCAATGCCAATCTAACAGTGAATGAAATAATGATGTTTGGACCTCAAAAAATTACTTGCTCTTAATATTGCAGACCAAATTCTGACGAAACAAACGACCTCTTTTTTGTAATAAATATATATCACCGCCATCCAGTGTCCGTCTGGGAGTTTCCCTACAATATCATTCAATGAACTAAAAAATTAGCTTCAGTGTATATCACTATGAATTCTGGTGTTTATTACCATTAATTGTGAAATTCTTTAACCAGTACAATCCCTGGAATATTTATTTTGAAATAAATAGGTATTCTTTAATTTTCGGAATTTAAATGAAAACTTACCTTTTTTAATGGGCATACTCGTTCGTCTTCCATATATTGAGGAAGATTGGAGATACCTTCAACACGGTTCATCATATATTTCTTATAGTAGACGTCGAGATAGTAATACGCAGATGCTCTTGGTATGACGAATGGCATTCGAGTGTACTGATTATTATTCAAGCGATTATAGTGAAATGTTACTTCAATTTCATGATCCTCGTCCATATCGCAAAATATGTCAACATTAAATTGAACGGAATAAGTAGTGCGATTGACTCTGGTCACTCTGAGCTGAGAAATATTGTAATGTCCTTTAAGGTAAGTTGTGTTCAATTCAAAGCCGACGGGTTCAATTTCAGTTGCTGAAATAACAACAGCATTGAAAACACAAACCAAAATTATTACCAAATAGCACATTGTATCTTCTTTGCAATGCTCAAACATATAGATGGAACGTTCCTTCTGCGAGAGTTTTTATACTCACCATCATTTTTGAACTATAAATGAATAGAAATGTTTTGGATCCGAATTTATCACCGGATTTCCATCTATCATACAATTTGAAACGAAAATTGTAAATGGTCATTGCAGTATAATTTCCCAGTTTTAATTAGATCGCGTGTCCAAATGACATGATTGTATCAAATGTAAATTATCTTCTTTCATGCATTCATTCCGTAAATGAAATTGTGTTCACATGTATTCACAGTCAAATCTCAGCAAGACAAGAAAGCTCAAAATGTCATCAATAGAAAGAATCTTTCAAGCAATATAAAATAAAAAAGTGTTACCAAAGTAGATCGCCTTTTTTTGCAACGCAATTCTGTGCGGGATTAATCGCATAGCAAAGTAGATCGTATTTAAACCATGACTATTTATTAAGCGTCAGTCGATTGACATAAATTGTTCGATATAAATTGAGAGTGAAACGCATTTAAAGTGAAATTCGCGAGCAGAAACAATTTTTTAACGGAAAATTTACCATGAACCAAATACTATTGCCTCTTATGCTAACCATCGTACTCTTAACAAAAGAAGGTAGATTTTTTCAAATTTATTTTAATCGCATTTTTTTTAAAATTCAATTTGCGTCATTAGGGGTGGCTATAAAATGTTATGTGTGTTCATCGGCTGATGACGAAAGATGTGATGATAATAACTTCACCGGAGCAGCGGCTTTTAAGTTCGATTGTTCAATTGGTCAAAACCGAACATTTCCAATCTTACATTGCAAAAAGGCCAGATATTTGAGTAAATTACCCAACTGATTTCATTCAAATTCAGTGGAAGGTCTTTTATTCTTTTCTTTTTGTTTCTCAGGGAATAATACTGTTGTACGAAGCTGTAACAAAAGTGATAGCTTGATGGCAACAAAAGACATTGAAACTTTTCTATGCCATGCAGATCTATGTAATTCCGGTGTGAAATACAGTTCACGTATTTCAACCATTTTACAATCCATCTTTATCCACATATTTGTTAAAATCATTTACCTCGTCTTTGTAAAGGGGGATTTATGACAAAATTGTAGAATATAGACTAGTAAAAATATCAATTATAGAATTTAAGCGGAAGTTCGAGTATAGAAAATAACATAAATTCATTTACAAAAATCAAATGCAGAATAAATTGAAATATTATATTTCTTAGAAAAAACATTGCTGAAAAAGGTACATTTAAAGAATTTAATTCTCAGCCGCTGGAAAGCACATAGTTTCTACTGGCTGGGATGCAAAGCATGAACAAAAACTTTATCGACCTTTCCACGTTTGATAACGTGTGGTATACTCTTGGGCACCATACTGAAAGAAAAACAAAACAAAAAATAGATTATGAAATGACGAAAGTACATCAAAAACATTCGATGTTTACCTTATGCAATCGATAATTGGGCAAACAGATAAACACAATGTGCAACCAGTACAATCATCGTTGACCTGTGCGCGATGGGTTTTTGAATCGAATTCAATTGCTTGATAACCTGAATCAGCGCATGCCATATAACATTTACCGCAATTGATACATAAATCCTTGAGAAATTAGAAAAAAACAGTAGTAGAGTAAATGTTTAGCGCGGCGTCCATATTTTCTGAATATTTTTGATACTTACATCATCTATTAAAGCAACAACTTGTTTTTTGTTGTCAAGTTGCTTATAAGCTCCAACATATTTCAGAGATGCTCCGATAATGTCTTTCAGTGTTGGTGCTGGGTTATTACCGTTTTTCGTGCCATTTGTACTTTCCACTCCGTTTGCAGGAAGATCATCATCATTTTCATTCAATTTCCAAATTGCACCTTTTTCTTTCATCATTTGTGCGACTTTCTCCTCGCGTTCTTTCTTTTGCAAACCGAAATTGACCAGCGGCTGGAAATGTGGGTCAATTAACTTTGGGATATTTACTGATTTTTTGAATTCATTTCTTTACCTTTCCATCTTCTCCTTTGAGCGGAACGACCGGTTTTCCTTTTTGATGTTTGAAGAGCGGCGGTGATTGTCCGCTCCATAATTGAGGTTGATTTGGCGGTGGATTTGACTTCAAATACAATAATGCTTTCAAACCGGTTATATAGTCTTGAATGACGGTGAAATCTTGATTTTGAACCGCTGAACAAATCTGAAGAACAGATGATCCAGCCTGCAAGAATTGCAGTGCAACATCGGCTGAATCTATACCTCCGATGCCTAAAGTATTGGGAAAGTACCGATTATTGTACCGAGTATTGGAGTAGTAAGTAAGTAAGTACCGAGTATTGGAAAACCAGGCAATTGATTGCCAATGGCGGTAATAGCTCTCAAAGCCATCGGTCTGGTAGCATTTCCACTCACACCTCCGTATGTCGTACGTTTTTCGCTGCCAACTCCTAAAAATCAATTGAAATGTGCCAAACATGAATTGTCGAGCAAATTGAAAACATCAACAAACCTGGCCAGGGTGTGCCGTCTGGATTGAGTGACATTAAACCTGATACTGTGTTGATTGCACTAACACCATCCGCTTTGCCTGTTTCGTAACATTAATCAATAAATTGAAATGAATTCTTCAAATTAATTCAATTCAAATGGGCTCACCTCGATGAGCGGCTTTGGCTATTGAAACAATGTCGGTGATATTTGGGGTGAGTTTAACAAAGAATGGAATTTTTACAGCAGCACGAACCCACAGTGAAATATTGTAAACTAATTCGGGATCTTGACCACAAGCTAATCCCTACATTTATCGAAATTCAAATTCTAATAAGTTCTATAAAATAAACGTTAAATTTAAGTCAGTTACCATGCCACTCTCCCCCATACCATGGGGACATGATAGATTCAACTCTAACGCATGAGCACCAGCTTTTTCAGCCTTTTGTGCCAATTCAGTCCAATCATCCTCGTTATAGGAGCACATGATACTGGCAATAATGATTTTTGTTGGAAAATCACGACGCAATTCAGAAATGCTAGTGAGCCAGTAATCGCAACATTTTTCCGAAATCAATTCAATATTCAAAAAAGCGCCTAAAAATCATTGGGTTAATTATAAGAGTAATGGGAACAATAATAATTTATGTCTTACCTTGTTGCGGCCCATACACATGACCCGACGTAGTTCCTCTAATAATACGTGGTGATACGTTTGTAACCATATCCTTATCTGCAAGAGAGAGAGAGAGAGAGAGAGAGAGAGAGAGAGAGAGAGAGAGAGAGAGATCAAGTGATTGTTTCATCAAAGATTGATCGATCTATTTGATGTTCATAAAGAAAAAAATTCGGTTTTTTCATATTTTAAATTGTGGTGATACGTACCGAGAGCAAAAGTTTTAGTAACAGCGAAACCCCAACCTTGTTCAAAGGCACGGCGAATCATAGCCGATGCTGTTGTTGGTGGTGCTGAGGCAAGCCCGAAAGGATTTTCAAATTTCAAACCGCATATTTCAACCGAAATATCAACATCATCGATTGGACTGTGGAATAATGGAAGCTCCGCCGGTGTGTCAATTGGTAAATTCTATAAAATACCACATTTCATCAGACAACTAATAACAGAAAAGGTTTGAATTATAGACAAGACTATTGGTTCTACCTGCAGATAGCAGTGCATATACCAAGCGGCAGTCTTTCCATCATTGACTGATTCCACCGTTGTATTTGCAATTCCAGCCAAATCACCACCACAAAATACTTGCGGCAACGATGTTTGATAGGTTTTCAAATCAACTTTTGGCAAATTCCACTCATTCAATTGAATCGGTGACAAAGCATCCAAAACTATCAATTAACAAACAGAATTGATTATTTTCGAACAAACATTCCGTTTTTTTTTCGTTCAAATATTTACCATCTTTTTCACTTAAAACCGAGCCAAATGCAGAAATAACGAAATTTGCTTTGAGTTTAGTAATTTGATCAGAATCTTCAATCCATTCACCCTTTTCATTTTGTTCATTGCGGCAAAATTCAATTGATTCAATCTTTCAAATAGAACATATAATGAAAAAAGATTATAGTTGATAAAAATGTTCAAAAAGACGGGTTTCATGTAAACTCACTCGACCATTAACAACATTAACTTTGGTTGGCGACATAAATGGAATGAATTCACATTTCTCTTCTCTCGCTAACTCAACCTCTTCTGGTACGGCTCTAATGTTGGTGGTACCACGGCGGAAAACAACAAACACTTTTCGGGCACCGCATCGCAACGCAGATGTTGCACAATCAAATGCCGTATCTCCGGCACCTAAGACAATTACATTGCCGTGCAATTGTGGTAACTCATTTGTTTTACATGCACATAATCCAGGTTTGCTGCCTTCCGAAACTTTTGGTAGAAAGTTTTTAGAAGTGTAAAAACCGTGTTCGGTTGTAAGTCCATTGAAAATGGAATTGAGCATCGGTTGTGGTAGTCCGATGCCCAAAAATACAGCGTCGGTACCATTTTCAATTAAACCATTCAATGTGATGTCCGAAGTGGACAATGAGCGTCCGGTCTCAAATTCAACACCAAGGTCCTTAACCAAATTGATTTCAAAGTCGACGACGTCCATGGGCAAACGATATTGTGGAATTTCATAGGAACTCAAACCGCCCAAAGCCTCTCTTTTCTCATAAACGATGATATTTTTGTAACCCAAACGACCCAAAAATGTGGCGCACGAAAGAGATGCCGGACCGGCGCCAAGTAGCACAATTTTCTTTTGATCATTCTTTAGCGGCGGTTGGTCGGGCGAAACAGTTTGATGGATACCCATTTGTTTAAAGCAATCGGTGGCAAATTGCTGTAATCCACCAATGTTGATGCCACCCTCTTCCGTTGCGGCCAAATTACAACCACCAACACATAGATCAGACGTGGGACAAACCATACCACATGTCAAACCAAGGGGATTATCTGCAAAAGAGAGAGAGAGAGAGAGTTAGCTAGTTAGTTTTTTTCATTTTTGAAATGTTGGTGATACGTACCGGAGAAAATGGCCTTTGCAGCGCCATAGTAGTTTTTACCCGAAATGCTGGTAATGAAATTCTTTACATCCAATTGTGTTGGACATGATTTTTGACACGGAGCATCAGCACATTTCAAACATCGAGCCGCTTCTTTCAAAGCAGCACGCTCCGATAATGTTGTATGTTTGATGTCCGAAAAATCATTCTGCAGACTCGAGCATGACTTTTGAAATGATATAAAAATTTAATTTTTTGGATTCAAACAAAGCAACGGGGTACACTTACTCCACATCCACGATCAGAATTACGTTTCCAAAGTTTTTTCTCTTTTTTCGTAACGGCACTTGGAACAAGCGATCCTTTGGTTTGAACACGCGGATTCAGTGAAAGTAGATTCTGTTGAAGAAAAATGCATCGTGAAAATGAAGAATCCTATCATTTGAGACACTTTCTAAGCACTCATTATAATCAATACATTGTTAGATTGAGTTTATAAGATGATAAGAATGCTTCATATTACATTTTTAAAATGAGAATCAATATGTCACTGTCAACACTTGAAATTGATAATTTTGATATTTATTCGGAATGTCAAGTAAAAATAAAAGCGAGTTTTTGTTACCAATAACATATTTAAATGGATTATCGGAGTCCATAATCATCAGCTGTGATAATCACCTTTATTTGTGCTGTATAACCTTATTCTGCATCAAGTGCACTTACCGAATTCCATCTTATACCCAAATTTGTGATAATGTGATTTTATTGGAATTTCAATTTATATTTTCAGAGTTTCTAAAATGCCTGCTGTATTTATTTGTTTGTTTTAAATATGGGCATCAGCTGTTTTGAATACTGCGCACATTTTCAACAAACTACGTTTCACAATGAATTTGTTAAACAAGCGCTTACGTTGTGCGCGTTATGAACCTTGAATTTCTAATTTCCAAATAAAACAACTACTATAACTACAAGAACACGGGGCAAACAAATTACACCATTTGGATGTGATCGATTCCAATCCGTCGCAGTTCAACAGTGCTACTGAAGCGCACCCATCACACAAATCCCAGTTAAATCAGTTTTAAGTTATGCTTTGTGAGCCATTGTTGATAATAATACTTTCTCAGCTCATTCAACAATCGAATAGTTTCGACTATCTTACACAAAGGTCGTACAGTTCAAAACGTTGAATGAGTAAAAACTCTTACATATCAATATCAGTCAAAATTTTAATGAAGTTCGTTTTTAAATGAATTGCCATACCTCAATATCTGGAATATCTTTGCTGACAATTGCTGGAGGACTCATATTTGTTTCTCTTTGCTGCTTCAAATTATTTTTTTTTTTCAAATCTAATCAGTACAAACAACAACAGTGTATGTTCACGATAAATGTTCACTGAATTGTTTTTTTGAGCTCACACTGGACACGTAAAAAGAACATTCAATTTAATTTGGTTTTTTTTAGTTTTTGCTATGGCCGTCGTTAAATTATCTTCACTTTAGACGATATAAGAAAAGAATTGTTATATAACTTTCTGATATTTAATTGTAATATTTATTCAGCATTGGAATTAATGCTTCCAACTGTGCATGTAGCGCAAAACGTAGTTCATCAAACGGTTGTCACTGCACAACTAGCACACAACAAGTGAGAATGAATCGAATACGAATAATAGAGAATAATTTATCAATGCACGCTATCTCAATCAAACAAAAGTGCTGCTGTTGAGTTCAACTCAACTCAAGTTATTGATAAACAGTTTACTTTCGGTGGCGAAGGAGAGAAAGAGAAGGGAAACACTGTAGTATTAGTGTAACTTACCGATCGTAAAGAATTTCATTTATGTGTATGACGGCTGAACCTTATTTGCATTTCAATTTGTTTCACACTTTATCGATGTGCTTACATTGTATTTATAACATTAAGAAACAAATAGTTATAAACAATCAACAAATACTTTCAATCTCTTTTTCTATTCAGCTTATTTGTGTCTAACTATTTTTATCACATTTTTGAAATTCACATTTGTCCAATGCCAAAATAAGCCCACAACCTTTTTTTTCAAAACGACTGGAACTGAAATGAATGATATCGGATTTTTTTTTATTGAATAAAATTAAGAAATTAAAAAATTAATTCACACTTTAATTGACCAATAAAATGAAAAAAAAGTACTATAAAACGTTAATTATAGCGGAAATATGAGATAAGGCGGGATATAGTACGAAGTGAATATGAATGACGAGGCGATGCGATTAGAAGATTATCACGGTAGAAAAAACACTATTTACTTTTACAAAAAGAAACAGTCAAGAATAGTAGTGGCGATGAAAGATAAAGTAATTTAAAAAAATAAGTATGTTTTTCTTTAATTTCCAATGTTTTATTTATTCTTTTAATTCCAAACAAATTGTTTTGAACAATTTTTTTTATGCAATGAATTGAATTTATATTTTACCCAAATATTTACATTAATTGCCATGAGCACAAGAAAAATAGAATTTGATTTTCTTTCATTGGTTTCCCATCAAACAGAATTCATAGTCATATTATTTTAAAAAATATTTTATTTTGACAAAGCAAAGCGATATAAATTTAGAAACAGAATATTTGCCACCATCTGTTGTTCCGTAACTGTTATTTATATAAAGTACTGTATGCTTTTCTGGACCAAGTAAAAAAAATAAGTTGGCCCGTTTACATGCTAAAACTATTCTGTTCATTCCGCTAAATGTATTTTGTTTGATTGAAAACGTGTGTGTTTGTGTGTTTTTTTACAATTTAGAATATAAAATAAATCCATGTTTTGATCTATAGCGTAAGGAGCTTATGCAGTTTTGGTTAATTTGTCTATAAGTTTCGGTACAAATCTACAATTTGAGCTAATTGCATTTAAAATATTCGATTTTGGAATTGTGTTTTCTTTTCTATTTGTTTAAGTTAACATCGGTTTCCTGTTCTTTAAAAAATAATAGTATTATTATAAACGAAGAGAGTTCTCTTTTTTTTGTTTTAAATTGGCAGTGTGGCTCTTTGCGGGAGAAAAATAAAAACAAATGAATAAAAATGCTCCCGAAATATGTGTAAAATATTTCGAGTTTTACAGTCAAACTGTTAATAATAGTAGTTAATGCTAACATAGTTTCAGTTTTCATCTCTTCTTCGTTTACTTACAGATTAAAAGTCGTTAAAATCATTTCATATATATATATGTATATTACAAAATTACAGTCAAACGTATCAAGTCATAAAACAGAGTCCTATTTTTCTTTTATGTAATTGAGGATATTTAACGGGGGCATAGGATGATTAAAAAATAGGAATATTATATATTATTTGGCCAGATGATTGTTTTTGCAATGCGCTTCAGTTGTAAGCGAATTACGCATGAAATTATTGTTATTATTGTTCTTATTATTTGTAAGAATAGCCTCTGATTTGGATGTTTGTAGCCGCTTTTCGCAATATAAGCTCATGCTTGGCGCTGATGTGATTGATGATGACAACGATTTTGTGATGCGTTGCGAATATAGGGCACTATTTGATATTGAACTGGAAAGATCGAATGTTTTTCGTCGTTCTGTTATTGGGAATTTGTTCTTTGTACAGCTTAAATCTAATTCTAGTGTATTGAATCGTGGACGTGAATATGTTCGATTATTATCAGTTTGATCGGACTTTTTTGCATTCGAATCGTTTGTGAGGTGCACCGAATCGCTTGTGAGGCGCACCGAATCGTTTGTGAGGTGCACCGAATCGTTTGTGAGGCGCACCGAATCGTCCATTTTATTATCGAATGATGATTGTGAATGTGGTATAATTTCAATATCGACTTCGGTTTGTAGTTGACTCATAACATCGATATCATTTTTAATTGGTGTACTATTCAATATTGATTTTGTGTGATTGCCAAGGGAATCGCTTAAATTCTCTCGACTGGTTTCGTACACACTGGCCAATGGTGGCGATCGTAAGAGATGGGTTTTCATTGGATGTGGCATAATGGTTGGAATTTGCGGTGAATTTCGTACCATTTCAGCAAGAGCATTTGCTGTTGGTGACGATGGTTCACTTTCGTTTGTTTCGATTGTTGAATTTACGATGCCATCAACGGTGTCTGTATCTCGTGTACTTTCTTCACGTTTTGCGTCCAGCAATGCCTTCTTTTTCGATATAATATCAAAAGCATCAGCGTAAAATGTTGTGTAATCAACATCGGTGAAAATTTCTTGTAAAAATTTTCGCGATGAAAATCGATACGTATTCTGACTGAGTGCTGTACATACATCTGAATATAGGCAAATGTTTTGAAAGAAATGTGGATGCTTTTGTTTAATTTTGAACAAAGCCAATTTCGATTGTTTGCTCCAGATGGGATTTGACATGCGTTGAACGTGTCGCAAAATCGTCTCTTGAATTTTATCATTATAATTTTCATCGCTCAAATGTGACTCCGACGAATTGTCTAAATTACCATTTTCGGGGAATTTTTTGTTCGGTGTTGCGGTTAACGCACTCGAACTACCAGTCAAATCCATGTCGGATGAATTTGCTGCTGCACCCACACTCGGCACACCATTCGTTGAATTAAAACGATTTATGCATTGCGTTTGACGGCAACACAATAAACACGCTTGCCGATTGTGTTTATTTTGTCCACCGATTTTTGATCGCTTACTCGTTGAGGATATATCCGATAAACTGCTCACGGAATATTCATCACATTCACTTATAAATTCGGCAACCACACCATACTTAAGTGCCCAGTCCATTGAGTCCGTATCTTTGATACACCGTGTCACGTATGTTCCATTTGATCGTGGACTTGGAAATAAATCCATCACATTTTTCGGCAAACAAATACCCTGTTTTTAGAATAAAAATACCATCAAATTCACAAATACAGTGTATAAAAATGCAAGCAGTTTAAATCAAAAATGTTTAAAAATGTATATTTCTTACCGTATAACATGGACCGCGTGAATAATTCGTGCCAGTTAGACAATATGATCCAATATCAGATATTCTAGATACGTCATTTGATGTGTCTGTGTCCATCATATCGAAGCAACTTTGGCGATCAAGACTGCGTACCTTTAATCTTCGTTGTGATTGCGGTATCGTTAATCGATTTGTTCGCAGTTGATTGATATCGATGATTTCGGCCAATTCATCGGCCGCCGATTCCGAAAGCTGTGGCCTCTGATAGCGTCGAATTGAACGAAGTTTTGCATAACCTTGTGCATCCTGTGGACTTATTGTTGTCTCACGAAAATGAGCGCCCGTTAATGAAATGCGACGAAAACGTTCATTTGGCTTTTTCACTTCGAGTAAATTCGATGAACTTGGAATTGGACTAAGAGTCTTGTTGCACATTTCACCAACGGCAATTCCGAAAACCGATTCATAACTACTTACACCGGATGTATTTGAATCCGATGTACCCGAATTGAATCGCGTGCGACAATTGACAATGTGATTCGTATTCGAATTTAAGCTAATACCATCCGTTGTTTTCGATTCCGATAATGATCGTTTATGTTTGATCATTGCATATTTGCATGCGTATTCTGGAAGTGTTTTCGATTTGGCAGCAACCGACGATGGTTGAACGCCATCAACTTCGCTGGCCGTATCTGTTTTACTGGCATCAGCCGATTCCGGTAAAAATGAACTGGTCGATTCGTCAAATATTCCACTGATTTTTTCATCAATTCCATGATAATTGTACGGTGGTACGCTATCCAAATGATGACGAATTGGTGTTAAATGCTTCGATAGCCAATCTTCTGTTTCACATACAGGCCATACTGTGTCACGATTGTGGCGTACGCAAAGCCAATCTAAAAAATAAAATAAAAAATATTTTAAGATCCAATACATGATTTGCGACCAATCAATGCTTACCATATTTGAATAGAATATCAGCGCCGGCTTTGGTGGTCGCAACCAATCCCAGTGCATGTAAGGCAACCGCTCGAACCGAATACACTTCACAATGTTTAACCAAATAGATGAATTTCTCGTAAATTTGTGGTGCCATTTCGCTTAAATAATCAATTCCATCGATGCTCGTTGATGTATGGCCCAATGCCCAAATAGCTGCTTTCAATGTTAATGTTTCTGTTTCATTACTGCATTTTCCCTGAATCAATGTATCTATTAATTGTGGCAGTTGTCCATACTTCAGTAGGTTATCTAGTCCCTGAGTTGTTTGAACCAACTGACCGTATAAATGCGGTAAAATATTTGGCGATGCTATATATACTTCACGTGCTGAACACGCTCGACGACTGTACGTTCCATCTTCGCTGCGTGTGTGCAACGTTAAATAGGCATGTGTATCAGCCTCAATCAATAGAACGTAACGCTTGTTATAGACATTATGCCAAATTTCGATTTCGGATTGAATTCGGGCTTTTGTATGATTCAAACCGCGTGGTATTGAATAGTATCGTGACATAAGAAGCTTTCCATTATCACCGCGAGATGTAAAGTCTGGCCACAAGCTGACCAACTCTTCTAGGTATGCCCGATCATGGCATGCTTCATCAAGTATTTCCAATGCGGCCAAGACCACTTTACGTTCTTTGTCTCTCGTTTGTTTGATCAGCATTGGCAGACCCCATACTTCAAAGTTTGGTATTTTTGCACGGAGCAACACTAACATAAACTGAGTTGCATATAAACGGCCTGCACTTCGTTCAGATGCAGTTAAAGCTTTTTCCAATACTTGACGTGGCAATGCATCCACGGAATAATCCAAACCGGATACTATTAATTTGATATAACAAGGATGATTTGTCGTCGTTACAATTTGAATTAAACTGAAAAATTAAAATGAAGAAAAATACATGAATTTGATTGCTTTTTAAGTAAAAAAAAGAAGTCAATTCAACTTGTTTGTTAACTTTGAAGAGGAAACTTACTGCATGAAGATATGTGTGTTAATTAAAATGTTGAGTCCAATTTTCGATCGGCACATTCGGCCGATATACAAGAAATAAAGTTGGCACATTGTACTCGACATATGTTGGGGACTAAAAAGACAATCGTGTGCACTTTTGGCCGTGCAGATCGCCAACAATTGTGCATCAATATCCGAAAAGTAATCAGTCAACAGTCGAATAGATTCCGTCTAAAATGAACAAAACAATTTCATTAAATAAAAAACAATTCATTTAGTTTGGCTTTGCATTCGATGTACGTACTTCAGCATTTTTCAAAAGCCAATCAATTAATTTGATTCCAGCCGTAACATAAGATGGCATGTGCCTGTTCAAACCAATGTCCTGATGTGAAAAACGATTACTGCTTGGCTTGAAGAAATGCATTAAACGTCGTAAAAATCGAGTGAATTTAATATCCAGTTTATTGCTTGTATTTGCCTACAGACGAAGAAAAATGCAATTTAAAATGGGCAATTAAATAAAAAGTGATATAAAGATGGACATACTTTTGTGAAAATTGTTGTAATAATATCCCAATCCCATGACATTCCATCATCATTGGCAAACACATTCGATTCTTTCATTAAATTCTCACTTTGTCGCAATCCATCAATGAATTGCAGGAACTTTTTCTTTTTCATGCTTCCTCTTCGATTTAACGTTTGTGTGGTTGGCTCTTCGCCGCTATTACTTGTCGATGAACCAACCGAGTCGTATCGTGAACGCTCCAAAATGCCATACATTGGAGGTTGAATATTGATCTCTGTAGTTTCAATTTCTCGTTTGAATAACGGTGAATTTATTATCGCTATAAAGAAAAAATGGAACGTAGAAAAATAGTTCAAGATAAATGTTGCCTCTTCAAAAGTTCAGGTCTATCAATTGACAAATTTACCTCCACTTTGGATGATTGCGTCTAAAAATAAACTGCATGATGCTGGTCGATTTTGTAAAATTTTATGTAACTGTTGTAGCGCTGAGACAGCGGCCGTTGCTTGTGGATTTCCTTGAGATGCGTATGTTATTAAGGCAGGCAATGCTGACGATGCATTACATATATCGGCAGGAAGATGTGTATGCATTAATTGAAGTAGTTTACCTATTTGCACAAAATCAATTGAAAAATCATAATGTGATTATCTGTTAAGCCGTAATTTTAAATCAATGTGACAACGTACCAATTAATATTGTTGCTCGAACTGATATAAACGCAGCGCTTGATACAATTACACCGATAAGTGCATTTAATAGTCCGGTTTCGAGGAAACAGTACAGCAACACCGATGTATGAATCTCAGAAATGTTTGATACACGATTTGCAAGACTTGGTAAAATGTGTCGTCCTTCCATTGCTACAAAACCTTCGCCAAGACGCCATGCATCCTGGTAATCAGCTGGATCGATAGCTGCTATAGCCACCGAGTATTCATCGGTCCAAACTGGTTGCGGAAGCCACAATAATTCATATAACAAATCTAAAATTGCTTTCTGTTTTTTTCGAGGGGGGGGGTGTGGATGAAGAGAATACGATTAGATGTTTTCGATTAAACAGTAATGCATGTGTAAATCACTTACCCTAACTTCTAACTGATTCAAATATAAAACATCGACAATTGCTTTCAATCCGGATGGTCTGTTTGGATCGCAAAATTCCAATGTGCCGGAAAAACTGCGCAACACAGAAAGCAATGCCAATCGACTGCAAGTGAATCGCAAATCACGTGCATGCTTGTTTTTATCCATCAAACCCAATCGATAGGTGAAATCACAGTATGGAGCTGCCAAACAGTCTAAACGAACACCAGAGATATTTCGTGTGTGTGGCCATTCTAATAAATGCAATAGTACGCCACACAAACTTTCCGCAATGCGTGGACTGTGACACTCTAAAACGGTGCGAGTGATTGCATTCACACCGCCACACAAAATCAACAGCACTGGATTCAATACACCAATTTCGCATAGTATTGCCAAACAAGCGCGCAACATTCGATCACCATCTTCAATTCCACTCTCACTTGACGACACCAACGATCTCAATACGAGGGGGCTCATTATCTCTGGTGCAATCGATAAGATTTTTCGTATCTATTGGAAACATCAACACATGGCATCATTAGACATTTCATCTCATTTCAATAAATTCACATTCGATTTTGATATTGAGTAAGAAAATAAAAAAATACTACGCAAAAATTGCGCCTCACCAGTTTGAATGCCTGAACGCGCTCCTCTTCATTATCAACGACAATGTCGATACTGCGACACAACAATTGTGGTAGCTGTAATTCGTTGAATATTTGAACATCACGTGATGTACTCAATGTATAACGCAATACACGCAATACTCCGGCTCTGACTTGTGTAAATTCATGTACCATCGATGTCCTTAAACTATTTTCAATACGAAGAAAATAAATGCGTATTTAGTGGATTTGAAATGAAAAAAAAAAAACAAGAAGAAATGATATAAATATAGTGAATGATTGACATGTTTGGAGTATAGTACTAACCTTATCAGTATTTCCTCGGTGTTGTATGCGCTGAGCGCTTCACCATCCTTGGCATTGATTAATTTTATGAATCCATTTAGAAGCACCAAACGTCTAGATGCACTTGTTAGTTTTGAATTTAATTCAGTGAAGATTTCCTCAGCAGTCTCTTGTTTTTTTGGCATCAATGCCTCATTTTTAAGATGGCCTACATAAAAACAAACAAACATCATCGCACACATTAAATTCATTTACTATTTTACTCAAAATTCAAAAACACAATATTCACTTCTGTGCATGTTTCCGATGAAAAATACAAATTATTATTATTTACTATTCGTGATCAACAAGCAATTTCGCGTGCACTGACAATAATATTCTGTTTTGTTTTATGAATGGTAATGCACTTGTTCTCTTGCTGACAATTCAATCTGTATTGTTCGGTTGACCTTTTTGAAATACAAAAAACAAAAACAATCAAACGGGCAAAACAGAAAGGAAAAAAAAAACGGCTCAATTTCGATGAGAGCACACACACAGCACAGTGTAATGTTTGAAAAACAACGCAATTTTTTCTTTGCGCTCTCAAATAAAAACGATTGAAAGTAGTAGTTTTATGTCGTTTTATTTTGTCAAAGACTAATTTAAACACAAAGCATATGGCAAAATTTGTTTAAATCGCAATTTTTATACGTTAATATTTTTGTTTTTGTCGATTTGTGTCACACACCGTCCATAAGGTATGTGCTGGTGTGTGTGTGCGTGTGCGAAAGAGTCGGTTTTCTTTTTCTAAGTTTTAATTTGCTATTCGGTCGCTCTTTCGCATTCTCACATTCAAAAATAGTTCAATGTTTTTTTTATATTCATTCGGTGAATTTGTTGTTGTTTGTTGTTTTTCATTCGTTGTCGTTTTATCGATTAATTGTCAGACAGAAGAGAATCGCAATGGGCCACGCGAGCTCAATGTGTGAAATCGCATCGTGTATTATTCGTTGCAGGAATTTATTCGTATTCTTTTTTTTCTTTACGTTACTTGGTTGAAGCAAAAACATTGCAAGTATTCAAAGGAAATGCATTTAAATTACGAGCAATTTTCAAGTTGTGTGTTTACCTTTTCGCCAACTACGACTCCGCATCATTCGCGATGCCATTATTTTTCATGTGGTGTGTATTTTTCGTTCATCAGTTCAATGTGTACATTCGGATCCGCAACGTTGTATATGTACCAGCGCATACCAACAAATACACTCACATCGATACACACACGCACTCCACATAAATAAATATAGGCTAGTGGCTATACTATAAAATAATTTTTTTTATCTCTTTTCTCACATTCGAACCAATTCAAAACAAAACACATTTCAATAAAAAAAAAAGAAAGAAGTTTCCAATATCGTTTGATTTTCACAGATTCTTTGTTTTTACTTTTCAAAAAACAATTGTTAAATGACGACAATTAAAACGCATTCCATGAACGAAACGAAATCAAATTTTGGTTTATATTTTTTTTTATTTATCGAAAATTACATTCGAACCAAAATGTTTTTCCTTCTCTTTTCACTCTTTCGCTTCGTTTTCATCCGTCCACACTAATTCAACTCTATATGTTTTGCACACATTCATTTCATTTCCAAATCAATTCTTTCTTTCTTTTTTTTACTTCATTCTCACTTTACATCTCATTATTTTATTATGCACATGGTGGCAAACAATTTTTTGCCCACTATCATTCAGTCACCATCAAATTGATTTCCAAAATCTTAATTCCAATTGAATGAAAATGTATGCATAGTTCTTTTTTATCACTTTTTATTTATTTTTACGTTCGTTTCGCGTTTGCTACTGCTAAACACACACCAAAAAAAAAACTTTTCATACTGCTATTCTGGCTTCTTCTTTTTCATTACTTCTTGCGTTTTTATTTTTCTTAGAATTTTGACGTTTGCGTTTTTATTTTGTGAGGTTTTTCCTATTGTTAGGTTTTTTTTTCTTCAAACTCAACGATGACGCTGCGGTAAAATTTCAATGAATGGAGATGGCATAGGTATATACACACACGCGCACACATATCCACAACACATACATGGTCCGCAATCAGAAACGAGAAGCGACAACAAAAACGTGTTCGCATTCGATCGAGTCGCTTTAAATGTATGTATGATGGGACGGATGTTGCGCGGCGAATATGTAGTTTTCGGTGTTGCATGAGTTTGTTTGTTTTCAGCGGCCATGCGACGCGCGTGCACAACGCTTCCAAACATCGTGTGTACGAACTGACATTTCAGCCATTTTAGCATACAAGCATGCGCTGGCTTCGTTTTTTTTTATTGCTTCGGTCGCATGGCTTGAAAACGACTCATCACAAACTTTACAAATGTTGTACATACACGCGCTCCATTCGAACAGAACCAATGGAAATAATATTTTAGTGGGACGATTTTTATGATTTATGTTGAACACTTTTTTTTACTTACTTTAACTTTATTTTACTTTCATTTATTTACGCAAACATGAACTGGACTATTTTTTCGTTGATCACACGATTTGTGTTCGTATATGAAAAGAGGAGTTTTCTAATTGGATTGTATGCATGAGTAAGCATTTATGATATTGATGAGTTGTTGTTGAGTGTGTGTGTGTCTGTGTATATTTCGATATCTGTGTATATGTATGTAAATAAAAACATAATTATTTACTTGCTCATTCCATGATTTTTTGTTGATATACTCAATGACAAACAACTTTTTTTTCAGTTATTAGCGTTAGTTTGTTTGTATATATTACGTTATCATATAGCTGAAATTGTATTTTTAAAAGGACTCAACAAATATCGCCACTGTACAATTCCAAAGGGAATTCATTCATTGCCGCATAGCCATGAATTTGCCGTCACCGAAGCAGAAGAAAAAATGCTCCTTCAAGGAGAAAACAACAACAAATGAATTTGAATAAATAAGAAATGCCGATCAATATTATATTCGTCGCAAAATAAGTAAGATTCCAAATGTCAGCATCATGCAGAGTTCGTTATTTTTTCTCTTTGCGAGGAAAATGTTTGGAATATAAAAAAGGAATAAAAAAAAATTGGTATGCGAGTGCATTAATGTTATTTATTCATGAGTCACACTGCGATGACCGGATAAACTCCTAAAGGAATACTATCTGCAAAATCGCCGAAACGTAGATTCCTTCGGTCTAACTTCATTCAAGCCTATTTTCCTTTCTGCCAACATCAACTTCGAAAAAGATATTCAATCGATTTAAATCAAGAAATATTTACAATACACATACATTACATGATTTTAATCCAATCACATTGTTGCTGTGCTCACTGAGAGCCCGAGCTTGAGTTCGATATTCACCGTCGCTATATTCATCGATTTGTCTTATCGAATCGAACGATAAATCAGTGTATCCAATATAATTGCCGTTACTTTTGTATGCCAAAGCCATACCAAATAACAATAATTCATCTACACACAAAACAACATGATTATGAATCGCAAGCGACCCGCTCAACAGTATACACTTTGCGTTATGTTGGTAAGCGTACAACAACCAACACATACACATGCAACGGATTGTTATGTGAATGTGGATAAAAAAAATGTATGACATGTGCGAAACTACTACGAATTTTTTACCACGAGAGATCTAGCATCACGCTCGAGTTTTGATTGTGTGCAACTTCAAGTTTATGTGTGTTGATGTTTCATCACGCGAAAGAAAAGTTTACTTTATTTATGGGTGCTATTGAGATGCATAGGTAGTATCTCGCGGTAGTCGATTATCATATTCGAGTTGAAGTAGACGTTAGGTCACTCACTTGTTTCATTTCTTTTTCAATCTCTTTGTTTATATTAAAAAAGTGACAGTTCTGTTGGCCGGTTCTTTGTTCAACCGATTTTAAAGAGTGAAACAATGCCATCAATATACAACATCAACCAAATCAAATAAATTCAGATTTGGAAAACATCAAACAACAGTAGAAAGCAACGAATCGTACGATTCAACAAACAACGACTCGATCCTAAAAAAAGCAAAAAAAAAAAAAAAAAAATTGAAAAAGAATGCCGTATCATAACAAGATGATTTCATAGATTCAGTGATTGATAGTCAATAAATGTGCTAATAATATAGAAATATTACCGTAAAACGTTTCCTGTTGGCACAATCGAATGAAAGAAATGATTACGGCCCGCTAAATGTGAATAGTACAAAGTACGATAGTCGCTGTTATTCTCGTTTCTATGCTGAATGTGCTAAAATTTTGTGTCGAACTTCGATGTGAATACAATACATACATCTATCGGTGAACTACCTATTATTCATTCTTGCCTGTGTAATTTTATGTAAAAAAAATTCGTTTGTAAAATGACGCGTGAGTCAACTATTGCATGATTATTTTAATAAATTAGTTAAAAATGCAAAGTATATGCATATACATGTATAGCTAATTAGCCTCGCTTTAATTGCTTAAACGATTTACGTTGTCTGAAGTGCAGCATACAAAAGTCCTTAAACCAACAATGAGTGCAAAAACTATGAATGAAAAAAGAGTCAATGGTGATGATAACGTTGATGAATCGAACTCATTTGACTTGTTGAAAGCATGCAGTAATATTTCGTCTAGATTTTCACATGCAATCGATCGCCTTTTTTACAGGTAAGCTATGCGGCAAAAAAAAGTAGATTGCCGCCTCTTATGATCGGCTTTAATGAAATGAATGGAATTTGTGTGGCGAATCATTCTTAGCGACAAAAAGAAAGAAGAAGATTATAATTGTTTATGTTATCTCAAGTATTCGTAAATAATTGATACATCAAAAATGATAAACCACTTGAAAATTGCGCTGAACCTTGAACAGCACCGTTTTTGGCAAGCAACCAATACTTTTTATAGATATCCTAAAAATCAATTGTATTTTTTGTTCTTTTTGAAACATTTGACATAATTGCTTCAATATTACCTTACCATCCAATTAAGGTAATACGTCTTCCAACAGTCAGTCACAAGGTAATGTGTGCAAAACAGGTGATTTATTACTTGATAAAAATTCACGACAGCAAAAACCATTATGCGCAGCAAATTGAAACAATTTGAGAAACCGTGCCAATTAAAGGTTACGTTTGCATTAAAAGTCCAAAAGGTCATTCCAAAAATAAAAAACGATAAAAAATGAAATCGAAAAGATATTGTTGATTAAGGATTTGGAGGTGTACAATGGATTATGCCGATAGTGAAAAGTGGCACTCCATTGGAAGTCTCTTCCGACGTCATTATTTTGTATTATCAGGGCTGTAATAATAGATTGAAATACGCTATCGTGTATATCAATAAATTAAATTATGAGGTACTAAATACTGAATAAAAAAACAACTTCTGAATTCACATACAATTAATGATCGTCATTCGAAATACAAGTGATGATTGATTTCACTTGTTGATTTCATTATTCATTTAGATGCGGAAAGTGAGATGGAAACATTTGTGAATGGTATTTACGGAAATATGACGCTCAAGATTAGATAAGGAGAAAAGTTCAAACAAAATATGGTTTTGATTTGCACTGTGATTCAATTTATCATCGCAGTTTGGGTCCAGTTGTTATCTCCAGCTGAAATGCACTTTTATTTTCGTTTGAATTTCAGCTCACTCGAATATTCATATGATATAAAATACAGCATTATCGTTGTAAAATAATAATTAGTAATGAATAGCAATTGTTCACTAATCAAGTCCAGAATTTTTATTGCATAGGAAAATGAGGTCCCGCACGACACGATAAGAGAGTTTACTGAAAGATGTCAATTTGTTATCAAATATATATACAATTCAGAGTCGTCGACTTCGGCGGATTTGGTATTTTCAGTTTTTATTACTAACTTTCTTATTTAAAAGTATTGTATTCGCGCAATTTGTAGGAAATTCATACTCATTTCATTAACACTACCACTCCGAAAAAATAAGGCAACATTTGCAATTTACACTCATTTCATTCTCTCTCTCTCTCTCTGCATTCATCGATATCGGAGCACAAACACGTTTATTACGTCAAACAACGGCATCCAAGTTGTGTGTTCCAAGCGCATGCGACTCCGAATATGTTTTTGAACATTACTATTCTTGATGCGCTGTTTTTTTTCCAAATTTTGTTTTCTTTTTCATATTATAGCCTTCACAAGACACAAATATCTTCCGATACGCTGAAATACCATCCATTCCTTGTTTAATTCAATGCTAAATTTTTATCGTGCACGTAACTGATTAAAAACTGAAAACAAAACTTTGAACATGACATCAAAATGAATGAAAATCCACGGTGTAAACAAGAGTGTTTTATTGAACATTTGGATTGTTTTGAACATTTTTAATTTGTAATTAAATAGAAATCATTACATGACCTTACAGGCCAAACAAGGTGCACCATCATCTAGACCATCATTTAGCCAATCAAATTTCGCTGGCCCCAATTTCTTTAAAGTGTCTTCTCATGTTCCAATAACATGTTTGTAATATCTTAATATTGTATATTCTTACATCTTACGTGAAATTCTAAGAATTTTCAATATCGCTTCTCGTACAGTTTGGTTTTTGAAACATTCCTGCAAGAGATTAAATATGTTAGATAAATTTCGTCAATTTTTCAAGATTGATCCTCGAATTTCCTGAACCAATTGTTCTAAACCAGATATTTCATATTGCTTACTTCTGTAGACTTCAATTTCTGAATAAGTTAATTCGTACATTATCATGAACAAACGTAGAAAATCGCGAACTTTACTTTTATTCAATAGCATTCCGGAATAATCGAAATCTAATTCAAAAAACAAATTTGGTGATAAAAATAACAAATCCAACTTGATTTCATAAAATAATCGTTGAAAACTGCTCACCTCCTACGAAAGCATCTTAACCACGAAGAAAAATTTCACCCTTATGCATATCACAATGAATATTCATACAAAAAATGTATTGGCATATTGCAATTTTATTTTGACAAATTTCTACAGATCAAATTTGGTCTTAGGAATATTCTTGTACCGAACTGTTTGACAGTTCGGCTTTACTTTGTATGTATTAGTCGACAGCTTGGTTCGCTGCGCGAATAAAGCGTCAGTATAAATCGGATCAGAGAGAAGGAAAGACATGGACAGAAAGATGGACAGAATAAATTTTGGTTTTTTATTAATTTTTCCAACAATAAAGGTCGTTTGTGTTTTATTTCACCACTCTTATTCAATTCTAACCAAGTGATATCGAAAATGCGTTCCCGGCCATTGTTTACAGTTATGCATATTTGATTTAATGTTTTAACTTTCGTTTGCAGATTAGGTTATACGGTTGCATCACATCCACTGAAGACGATTATTTTCTCATTTTTGATAACGCTCATCTGTAGTTTGGGATATTTTAAATTTTATAGCGAAAAAAATCCTTTAAAATTATGGATCCCGCCAGGTTGATATATTACAGTGTTTTGGTGACTAGCAGTCTAAAGATAAGAATTGTACTTTTATTACAGAATCAAAGTTCCTCCGCGATACTGAATGGCTTATGAAATCTATGGAAGAAGGTTTTCGCCTGCAAAGTGTATTAATTACAGCGCCAGATGTGCTTCAACCACATGTTTTAAAAAAGGTATTGATTTCTAATGACTTGTCGTATTTTAAAAACTCAATGCGAACATTTTATTTTATTTTTCTTATCCATAGCTCTCTCAAATAAGTACAGAGATTGTGAATTTTAATGTTTACTTGGACAATGGCACGTCAATCGGCTGGAACGATGTGTGTTTCCATATTCCGAATATAGCTGAATTTACCGAGAATCAACGTAGAAAACGTAGTATTTTCGAGTCGAATGAAGTTTTATTAAACATCGAGAAGCCTTTGCATCGATTCACCCGAAGTGAACGACCTTGGAATCCAAGCGTTGATTTGAATTCGTTCATTTTTTGTAGCATCGTTGACAGTTTACCAATTGGATGTATGATTCAAAATTTTCTTGAAATGTGGAACTTCACCGAATCCACCATAGATAATCTAACAAAACAGGACATTTTAAATGCACTGCACACAACGAACACAAGTCTGACCACAGGACACGAAGCCAATTTTGAACGATTATTAGGCGATGTGACACGAAATGAAACCGGCCATATTGTTGCTGCCAAAGGGCTACTCACACATTTTATGGTTTATGTCAATTTTCTAAAAAGTAATTCGGAAAAAGTTGGAAATTTAGCCGGAACAGAAGATTGGGCATCAGAAGAAGCACTCTTGTGGGAAAATGAATTTTTAAGAAAAATGCATACACTTAAAGAAAATTTAAGCGACAATGAAACCAATATCTACTATTCAGCTGGTCGAAGGTAATCAACACCTTGAAAAAATCACAAACACCTTTTACATTTTATTCGTGTTTTTTTAGCTACGGTGACATCAGTTCGGCGACTATGTTTCAAGATATCAATAAAATTATGTTCGGCAGTGCCTTAATGTTCATTTTTATGATTTTGGTTTTATCCAAATTTGGATGGATTGAGCTTCGAGTGAGTTAAATTGATTCATGTGTGTCTCTTTGAAAATATGTATATTTCCACTATTTTTTTCAGATACTACTATGCAGTATGGGTTTAATGAGCGTTGGAATGGCCTTCGTTTCTGCCATTGGCTTGTGCTCTTTTCTTGGTATGGTAACATTTGGTATAAAATACCGTAATATCACTGATTTACGCATATCCTTCGGTATATAGGGATATCTTATGGTCCGGTGCATACATCGTTGCCATTTTTATTGATGGGCTTAGGTATTGATGACATGTTCGTCATGATGGCTTCTTGGAAGAAAGTACAAAGAGAGCATCGATTGCCACGGGATCCATCCACACTGCCAGAACGAATGGGAATGATGCTTCAGATGGCCGGTTCATCGATTACAATTACATCGTTCACAGACGTCGTGGCATTCGTTATTGGATCGATTACGGTAATTATTCACTCCATTCTCAAAACGTACCCTTTTCAATTGGCACTTTAAACTAAATTATTAATTCGCAGATACTTCCATCATTAGAGTCCTTTTGTTTATACGCCGGAGTTGGTGTAGTTTTTATATTCATATATGTAAATACATTTGTGGTTGCAATTTTCACCATCGATGAATATCGAATACAAGCAAATCGCAATGCATTCGCGCCATGCATTGCGCATAAATCAAATCGACTATGGTGCGATGCACATCTAATGGATCGACTTGTGTCATTTGTTTATACAAAATTCATAATGACAAAACCGGGAAAAGTTATTGTACTGATGACAGCGCTTGCCGTGACATCCTACAGTTTCACAGGACTTTTACGTTTAGAGCAAAAATTCGATCCAAATTGGTTTATACCGGAACGCACATATCTCAGTAAATTTACGACAGTAAAAAAAGGGCTATTTCCTGATCAAGGATACGAAGCGGCCATTTTGATGGGACGACTCAATTATACCGCGGAATTAAATCACATTGCTGCCTTGATTGAAACGATTGAAAATCGCACAGATTTAGTGCACGAGATATCATCATGGGTATTTAATATTTGGCTTACAATAGGAACATATTTATTTTCAAAAAAAAATTGTTTCGATTTTTCATTCCGTAGGTCAGTCCATTCCATGATTTTGTTCAAGTTTATTACGATACGGATTTTTTCACAACAACATTGAGTGACTATGACTTTCGATTTTATCTATCGAAATTTTTGCATACACATCGTGGTGGCAAGTATAGAGCGAATTTTCGTTTCAAAACGAAATTGGAGTGTGGTGAACCAGTCCCAGAGATTACGGTTTCAACTATTGATTTCAAATATAAACGATTCAAATCACGATCAAATTATCTCTCAGCAATGCATGCAATCGAAAATATTGTGGAAAATGCGCAATTAAAGAGTGGTGATGGATTTGCAACGGTGTGGGGACGAGTTTACGGGAATTGGGTCACAGATGAAGTAAGTTTTTAATTTGATTTCCAATCGGACCAAAGTATCATGATAAATACTTAATTTTGTTTGGTTTGTTTTTAGGTCATTGACACAGAAGTTTCTCGAAATATTATGCTGGCACTAGCATGTGTGATGTTCTGTACAACCATTTTAATTCTTAATCCAAATGTTTGCTTTTGGATTTTCATGTGTGTCGTTTTGACATTGGTAAGGAAACAATTTTGCCTTTTATGGAAGCCCTCTCCCTCCTATGAACGTGCACAGCTACTTGTTACTTTTTTACACCGAACATTGACCGATTTTTTTTCTGTGCAATTAGATAAATGTGTGCGGCATGATGGAAGTGTGGGGATTGACAATTGATCTGGTGTAAGTTTTTTAATCGTTAAACATGAAAACCGTACAAAAAATCTTTTGATCATTTATTATACATTTTTATCATTTATAGTTCATGCATCGGATTGGAGCTCGGTTAGTTTCAGCTATAAAAAAGTTATTCTAATTAATAAATAAAAAAAAACTAATATATTCTTGATATGATTATGCCGCTCACGTTGGCCATACATTCTTGGTTACTGGACCCGGAACTAAATCAGAACGAGCCATGAAAACCGTCAGTCACATTGTACCCGCTGTTCTATATGGCGGGTTTTCAACGTTGTTGGCTGTTTCAATGTTGGCTGACAGTGAAGCGTACACTTTTCAAGCATTTTTCAAGGTAATCTTTACTGAATTAACGAATAGGAAACGAAATATTCTAATTTTATAATCGTCGCTCTTTCATTGTAGATTTTCCTGTTGGTGATAATATTCGGATTGTTCTTTGGCCTTGTCTTTTTGCCTGTGATATTATCAAATGAATATGAAATCACGCCGACAAATGGTAGTCGAAAACGTCGGAATAATCGACGCAATGAATCGAACGTGAACGTGGACGATAAAGAAATGATATCATTCATTCAGATGAATGGGAACGGTAACATCGAGAAACTCTAAAAGATATTTCATAAAAATTGAAATTGATAGTTACCAATTTTAAGTGATTGTTGTTCTCAAACAGACAAACAGAATGGCATGCTCAACACACAATATTTTGTATAGATTTAACAGTCGATGCCGTCAGTCATAAATTGCCTTTAAATTTTAAGTAGCTCTAAATGTAGCACCTGGACAAAGGGAATCAAAAGCATAATTTTGATTTACAATCTAGCCATAAAAAACAAAAACTTGCAAATAGGCACAGAGAACGTGATAACATTTATTGATTCTTATTTTGGACAATCAATTTATGTAAAATAGGTAATTTAATCAGACTTTTGCAATGAGACTCTTACATATTCTAAAAATTGTTTTGGTGAACAACCCGATCATATTTAATTTATTCCATTGTCAAGACATTTTAAACGTTAAAATTGAATTATTAAAATCATCACTCGTATTTTTTTTCGTCTAAATTTTCTATTTATTATAATTACGTGGTAAGCACATCTGAAATCAGTCAATGTTAATTGATTCTAACGTTCCATTTTGTTGTTCGTACATCTTGGTTTCTTTGGAATTTTTTGTGGTTTGACTTTCGATGTGATCGGTGTTTCTGGGCTTAATGTTTTTGTCGATTTGTTGTCCGTTTCAGGTGGCGTAATTATGTCAATAAATTCATTGGCTACAAGATTTTTCTTCGTTCTTGTTTGTGCCGTTGGCTTCGATGCCATTTTATTATCTTGCGAAGAAATCGTTATTTTATCTAATTTCGTAGACAATTCCAAAGTGTCAGTATCGCTTGGTTCGCTTTCTTTCGGTGATTTTGATTTGGCAACACGTTTTGGCTTTTCTGTTGTTTTTGGTACGTCGCTAACTGTTTTTATTCGGGCACGTCTTGATCGAACCGGTGTCGCATCATCTGTAGGCACATATATTTGGAAATTACTACAAGCCGGTGCTTTCTTCTTATTCGTTACCATATCGATTAAATTCAATCGTGGATTCGGTGTTGTTGGAATTACTTCACTTTTTACAGTACTTTTTACAGGCGCACGTGGTTTTTTCATTTTTTCAGTATCGATAGGGCTTGTTTCGTCGTCAAATTTCTTACGATACTGCATATAACCATACAGTCCCTTTAATTTCTCCTCTTTTGCCATTTTCATTTGACAAATTGACTCGGTTTGTGTTGCAAGTTGAAATTGTAGATCAAGTTTTAATGAGTCGAAGATGCCATTTTTCACTTTTTCCAATTCAGTCAAACCACAACGCATCGATTTTTTGGCGGCTTCGTAATTTTTCTCGTATTTCCACAAATAATGGCTTTGATACATGAACATACGAGCACAAATCAAATAATACAGATCATCTTTGGCGAAACTCTTTTCTCTTTTAACCCAATATTTGATCAATTCAGTGAATATTGCTCGTTTTTGTCCCGAATCGTAATCGTCATCGTTGATATAAGCAAATCGAGCGTAGGCAACAGCCACACAAAATACATGGAGTCTATTTTGTGCGTTGAAACATAAACCACATTCACATCCATTCGTATGGTTTGGCAGAAATCTTATGTGCTGTGTTGATGGAGACGTTAATTTTGATCCGGTGTACTGTGGAAGGGAAAAGCGAAAAGAATAAATACATGTTTGTTTTGGAATCGGTAAATTTGATGACTTACCTGGTTGGGTGAAACTCTTTTCGGACTTTTCACAGAAACCGTCTTTCGAATTGGTTCGCATGAAATCTCTTGGTTATCTACTGTAAGAGCATTACTTTTTAAATGTTTGTACTCGGCTGGTTCTGGTGCGTTTGAAATCATCATGTGTTCGAGCGCCTTGAATTGTGTCTAAAGCATGATTTAAAATTAGTTTACTCTCTTATTATGATGTTTTAATAATAATATTCACCTTGCACGCTTGCAATTTCTCCGTCATTAAATCCATTTGCATCAGAATCACCATCAGATTTGCCGTACGCAATGCGTATCCAGACTTCACAGCTAATTTCAACAATGTTATCACCAACGATTTGCTTTCAACTTCCTGTTCATATCTATTCTCTTGCCAGCCGATCATTTGCGGCAGCATGTTAAATAGCATTATTGGAATGCCCACCGTCGAATCAAAATAAAGTTTCAAATATTTTTTCACATGATTCATAGCAAAATGAATAAATTTTGTCGGATGAAATACAGTTGGCGCTCCAAATTTGGTAATTATTGTAAACATCACGGAGTAAAATTTGATGCGCACCGCTTCCGAATGAATTTCGATGGTTTTATAATTTGTACGTTGGTTCATTTGCGATGGACCAACCACAGCCTTCACCGTGGCTTCCATTGTTTTATCGTTTGGATCTCCGATTGCATTGAATATAAATGTCAAAATCATGTGTATTTCTCTTTTATGTTCACCACATTCAGCAAAATAAAACAATACAAAATTTAACATGCAGAAGCAAATTTGATTTTGTTTTCGTTTCGATAAATCGTTCATTTTCTTGAGTTCGGTCACCGTGGCAGTAAAGCATGCGCCAATGATTTCTTTGAGATTTTCTTTTGGGTATTTTTGCTTGAAATCGTCACTATGCTCGGCAAAAAATGAACATGCATCGATTTTGCCTAAATCATCGTTGACCGCTGCGGACAGTTTAAATAATGACATAAACATTTCCAATCCATCTTCAATGTAACCACGAACAACAAATTGATTGGCAACGGTTTTAAAGTCACGTAAAAGTAAATCTTTTTCATCTTCATATGGTTTTCGTTCATCTTCCGTTTGGCTCAAGTAAAAATCGGTGAAATCAATGTATGATTTCTTTACGTCGTGCAACATTTTCACCTGATCCTTTTCATAGTCCAATGTAATCTCTCGAAATATGTTGTTATCTGATGCCAGGCTCACTTCTGTCAATGACTCACTTATGTGAATGTTTGAATGATTTTCACCGACTCGTAATGTTTCATGATGAAATCGAAGGTATTTTATGGCAGCAATTTGTAGAGCAATCGACGGATCTTTTTTGCTTTTAGCATGTAACGCATTAACAATCTCATCGACTCGATCGCTGGTCATTTTATCGAATTTTATTAAATGCACCGATAACGCAAATCGCAATGAATTTGAATCGTTGACTCGTATTTTCATCAGCATTTGATGAATAATTTTATTACTGAGTTCAGGCGCAATCACATTGAATTTGAATCCGACTTTTAAAAGTGCCAACGCCACTTTATTCACATCGAAATCTTTCGGCAACTGTAGACCATACATTGCTTCTGTGCTGGGACTGTTAAAGTGATCGTACGGTGTTATTGTTGTTTTATTCTCTTTTTGAATCTTGGCTATGGTCCATGCGATTGTGACACAATTGAGTGGATGCTCTGGAACTGTCGAATGAAATGCCATCATCAAGTAACCGACATTTATAAGCTCGACATCGATCAGTTCGTTCCGTTCATTTTTTGCATTTAGAATAGTGAACAAACAATGGCAAATGTAAACAACATCGAACTTTATAATGTCATCCACCAATTTAAATCGTTGTGAACATTTCAATGCGGCCTTCACGACAGGTACTATGTATTCAACATTTTTTATCGATTCGGAATTTTTCATCAGCGTTTTGAATTTACTAACGGTCTCGTATTGCGTATCAAAAACTTTTCCACATTTTAATTTGGTAATTGCCTCGAAATCGAACTGAATTATAGATTCAATGGTTTGAATCGTACTGTTATCGATGTGTTTTTCGATCAGTGCTGAGCATACATCCACAGTCAACATGGCCAATTCATGCGAACAATGATTTGCGACCGCATCACATTTATCACAAAATGTCTTTTCCGATTTCACCTTTCGCAGAACGACCATAATATATCGAATCAGTTGAAAATGTTCGATGGCCACTTTCGAATCGATCGTTCTGATAAAATGCGAATCGCATGCTTTTAGCATTTTTGCCACCGTCACCATGTTGTCTTGAACCAGTGTGGCACGTAGTTCATTCAATGCCATCAATGATCTGAAATAAAAGAATTTACAATTGGAATTTTTCGAAAGGAAAATGCACAAAATGTTGCTCTTACTTTAATTCATCTCGAAATTGTTGAATGGCCTTTTCCATTTTCACACGATCCGAACTGAGAACGATGAGCAATGATTCCAGCAATTTAAAACATGTATGGTACTGTTTTATAGCGGCATCTTGTTTTGGATCGCCTTCTCCTTTGAACAGCTTAAGATGTTTACAATTTTCCAAAAAACGTCTACTCTCCGTAAAATTCAACCGTAATGAGTTTGGTCGCTTTGCTTCGCATTGCACGAATACTATCAGCAATTGTGTCAAATCCAAGTAGATTTCCTTACGACTGTTGTCATCTCTGGCGATTGATTTTGCGTTGACTGAATTTCGAAGTACATCAAATAAATATGTGTTGATTGCTTTTAACCAAGCGCCTAGATCAAATACGGACGGCTCTAATCCCCAGAAAAGTGACAGATAGTTTGTTGCATTGCTAGTAACTGTGAAGTACTTCAAACACGTTATGAATTTTTCGTGATGGTGTGTCGTCGATAGTGCTGAAAACACATTTTTCCATTCATTCACAACAGATATAATGTATTCGGTTTTTTTCACCGATTTCATGGCATAGCATGCTGATCGCAGTATATAATTCACATGCTCCGTGTAATTGACATAATTTTCTTTCACGCCAATTTGTGGAAGCAGATTAAGACTTTGCTCATATTTTTTCTGATGAAAAAGGGAGAAAAAGCGGGAAAAATATATAATTATAACATTGGATAAAAATAACATTTCATGTAATTGATTTTCAAGAATATGCCATTTTAATTGCTTATCACAGTATATTCATTTTGTAAACAATGTATTTTGATACATTTGTGCTCCGACAAAATCGAAGAAAAAACAATGTTAATGACATTGGACAATGTATACGTACCTCGGCAGCAAGTTTTTGGTATTTATTGTATGCCTCACGGAACTGTTTACTTGTGCTTTGACTCATTTTTGTTTGCATTCTAAAATGTAACTAATTTTTCTTTATATGAAATGAAATGTTTTTTTAATTGTTGATGAAAAAATGCAAAATTTACTCACTTTTATTAAATTCTATATGTGCGTCGTCACTAACTGTAAAATCACTTTCAATTTGATTTTTGTATTCATCCAATATTTTTTTTTTATTTATTAAAATTTTGAATTTTAAATCAAAAATCTATGTATATTTACACAATTCACATCAATTATACACAATTTGTTATTTTTAACCGAAATATTCTGTATGTTTTGATGCGAGTTTTTGCATTTGAGTTTCTAATTTAACAGATGTGTTCGTTGTTGCGTTCGTTGTGGTTCGAAATTTAAAGTCAAATGACAGTTCAACACAAATTAATAGTGAACAGAAAACTGAAGCTGCTTGCAGCGCCACCAACTCAGGGGGAGGAGCAAATGAATTCAAATGTCACTACATCGTTAAAAAGAACCATAAGTATTTTAAAAAATTACATTTTCTTTTATTTATTTTTCAGTCTTTTTTTTCAAAAGAACAAAGAATTTTCATCATATTTATAATATTTGAATTTCATTTCACAAGAGACTATGTTTTGCATTTCATCACATAATACACAATGTGATGAAATTGAGTGAGCAATCAACAGCATACAGAGCCAACTTCATGCTGAACGTCATGGAATATGAATACATATTAAAAGCGTGCTGCTTAAACAGAGTCAAGAACTTTATTGACAAGCACACTAAGAGCAAACGTCTAAAGAGAACCAACAAGTAACAAGAGAAAAAAGTGATATTTGTGACAAAAATAAAATGGCACTACGTGTACAGTTTGAAAATAATGACGACATTGGTGTCTTCACAAAATTAACAAATTCATATTGTCTGGTTGCAATCGGTGGCGCTGAAACATTTTACAGGTAAGTTTTTTTTTTCACTCTCAAAGGTTATGTTTCAATGTTTTGCTTGTGAATGTGCCATCTGGCCAGTTCTGACACACGTGCCCATACACATCGCCGCATTACAGTTTTTTCTTTTGACTTGTTTTTTCAGTGTATTTGAAGCCGAATTATCCGAGCAAATTCCAGTCATTCACACAAGCATTAATGGTTGTCGAATCATCGGACGATTGACTGTCGGCAATAAAAATGGTTTGCTTGTACCAAATGGAACCAGCGACGTTGAATTACAGCACTTGCGAAATAGCTTGCCGGACAGTGTAAAGATACAGCGTGTCGAAGAACGATTGTCGGCTCTTGGTAATGTTATTGCTTGCAATGATTATGTCGCATTGGTGCATCCAGATTTAGATAAGGTACGCACGGTTTTTTTATCTTATCAAAGACTATTAGTCATTTTCGATGATGGTATTTCAATGACATATTTTTCGTCTCTTTTTTTTTGAATAGGAAACAGAAGAAATTATCGGCGATGTATTGAATGTGGAAGTGTTTCGCCAAACTGTAGCCAATAATGTTCTAGTTGGATCATATACAGTACTCAGCAATCAAGGTGGTCTTGTGCATCCAAAAACATCGACAGAAGATCAAGATGAATTGTCATCACTTTTACAAGTTCCACTCGTTGTAAGTCATCGATTGTCTTTCATTGTCATTCAGACCGTATATTTTTCTTTATTGCGTCGCAATTAAATAAAATGCATATCATTGATAGGCTGGTACAGTGAATCGTGGTAGTGAAGTGCTTGGCGCTGGTTGTGTTGTCAACGATTGGAGTGCGTTCGTTGGAATGAGTTCAACATCGACAGAAATTTCCGTTATCGAAAGTGTATTCAAATTGAACGATGCTCAACCGGCAAACGTAACAAGCACATTGCGACAATCACTCATCGAAGCGTAAGTAGACATTTCACAACTAAATTCAATTCATTTTCCGAAAATATTCTCATTTTAAAACATTTTACTCCCGCAACAGAATGTCATAAATGAACTGGGTGCTCTAAGACGAATTGGTTCAACAATCCTGTCAATTTCTTCTATTTTTCAAAAAAAAAAATGGACATCGAATGTTCAGTAAACATTTTATATATGCACATTTGAAGTGAAAGAGAGAAAAAAAAACTTTTCACGAGATTGATCGTTATTGTTTCATAAAAGAAGATGAAGAAGAAGTAAAAACAAAAATGTGTAAACAAATCAAATGTTGTTTCTCTGTTTGATCATGAGTCATTCGCTTGTGATTCAAACGGTCACCAATCTAATGAAATGCCGATTTTAAATTCCAGTTTATTATAAGAGGTTAAATTTACTTCCGCAAATGAAAATACCTTCGATTATTATTGAAAATGTTGAGTATATTCGAATAATTGTGGATTTATTTCATAAAAAATCACAAAATATCGTACTTCTCTCTTACATATTTTTCTACTTTTATCTCTCTCGGCACATTTTTCTTCTACCATTATTCGGCGTGAATTTCGTAATAAATCTCTAAATTATCTTGAATATACATATATGTTTATATTATAGTGAATTTTTTATGGATCAAATATTTTTGAAATGAAAACTGGAACATTGTTACGTTTATCGAATATGATTGACAAAAATGGCTGATTCACATTGAAAAATACTTCTTCCGGTGCGCTATTCAAACTTAATGTAACAACATGTGAAATGGTGGCGACTGCAGCGATGGTACCTTTTTCATCAACACTGAGAAAACCATTTTGTAAAATATCTTGCACACGCAATGGCGTACCGGTAGCGGTAACAAATGGTAAACGGCTGTTTTGTGTGAATAAATCCACGACACCCATCTAAAACGCAACAAAATATTGAGTATTTTTTTGGTTTACTTTTCAAATCGATTGATTTACCTTTAGCAAAACATTGACCACGGAGAACGATGATGAAACGCTGAATTTTGGCATCGATAAATGTACCAGTTTCTTGTATGAGCTCGACATCTCTTTTATAATGTCATTAAAATCACTTGTTCGCATCAATCGAATGAATTCATCCAAATAATATCTTTGTGTTGGTACAATGAGAACCATTGAAAATTCATCGCCACGATAAGGTAGCTCGACCCATTGTCCGGAGAATCCACTTCGTAATGTTATGCTACCGGCACGCAATGACACCAAATTCTTCATCATTTGAACATTTTTCGAGAGTTTTTCTGTTGTATAAAATGGTTCTGATTTGACTTCATTAAATCCATATTTCCATTCACCGCTGAAGTAGATTGAACTAGTTAAAATCGCTTGAGTATCGCTACTTATGGCATCGTCTGGCTTGAAAAACTGTTTGATGCGATTGTTTGTGGCATTGGCTACCCAATTGTTAATCACATATTTTGTTTCGTCGGATGATTCAAAGTTAACAGGAACAATATCAACCTCACGTTCAGATGCCGATTGAATGAATGAATGATTTAACCTTCATAAATAAAATTTGAACATAATTCACTGTCACGAAAGAGACAAGATCAGAAACGTACCTAAGATTATTCTTAGTAAACATTGCATTAGCGATGCCCAGGTTCGTGGAAAGACTATTTGTGATTTTCATGCGACCAATCAAATTTCGGGTTACGCTTGGATTTACCTCGCGAATTGCTTGAGCTATTTCCTCTTGCGTGAGATCAGCCGCCGCCGTTCTTAGTAGAGATAATTGAAGTTGCGGCTGAATGGGAGAAAGCACAAGATTTCCGATCGCTGACGGTAATTTTGATCCCTAGAAAAAAATCGCATGAATATTTTTCGCTTTAAAATTAAAATGTCGTACGAACCTGGAACATTGTCCATGCAAAGTCACGAATGTAATCTAATTGATCGTCTGTATATCGATTTGTGGTGAAAGCCGACGTCGTAGCGACCGCGATCCGCGTTGGTCGTATGAGTTCAGCATTTGGAGCTGGGGCTGGTAATTTTTGATCGACACTTTGTAAAATTAAGTTGGCATTTTGTGGTGCAGTCAAATTGACATTTTGTGGTGGAAATTTAGCGCTCGCATCATCTTCATCACGAAATATGATTGCCTGATCCGGTGATTTTTCTTCAATTCGTTGCTTTTCTACTTGTACAGTTGACTGTATCGGTTTGTTGTTTGACGATGTAAACAATTGATTTACTTGTTGTCGCTGGTTTGGTGCGGGTACTTGTTGTTGACCTTTGCTAATTACTGCAATCGTCAAAACTAGTTTTGTCAGTCCGAGTTGAGTACAATTTCAGTTTTTTACAGTATTTGTTTGATGCGAACAATTGTACAACAGTAACAGTATGTAGATGCGAAAGCAGGAGGCAAAAAGCATAAAAAGCAAAATGTAAAATCGTGTCGAATATGAAGATTCACTGATAAGTATTTGACCTCTCTAAGAATAATATTTGTATGTTTACTCACGCAAAAGTGTGCATTTTTCAATCATCTCTCTGATTTTTTTTTACTTCTTGTTAACACTTGACTTTTCAAAGGATTTTTTTTTTTCGTTGAGTGATTATTTAAGCATGGAAAGAAATATTTTGTTTTTTGTATGAAAATTACCACTGCTGTAACACATTTAACTTTGTTAACAGGCTTATTTATGTATTTTGCACAACGTAAACGAAATATGTGCTTCAATCAAATGTCGTCTTGTAAAAGTGAATGACAGACAACTTATCAGCTTGTGTTCGCGATGTTGACTGACCGCTTTGGCTTCAAGTCAATTGAAGTTGAAAAAAATATATATAAAACGAGTATTCGTCTTTTTCACATACGAGATATGAGAGGTAAATACGTTGCTTAACACATAACACACATCGTACACACGCTCACATTCGAAAACAAAGAAACATATAAATTGAACGTTAAAAGGCCAGACAGTCACAGACAACGCTACTATTTTATTAATCAATATATTCTATAATCGGGGAGGTGTTAAGAGAATGAAAAAAAAATCTGCGGTTAAGTACGTGTGTATTGATGCCGCATTGTAAATGTGTGTGCATCAGTTTTGAGACGTAATCGACGATGCAATCAATACCATGCCCAGTATAATTTCAGCGCATATCAAATATTCCGGTGTTTTGAAGAATATAACTTACGGCAAATCGAACTTGACATTTGCATACGATATTGTATTTTAAACAGCAGTTAGTAGCCGACGAGCATGCAATGGGATTTCCTAAATCTCCTCCTGGTTCCGATACGGTACGATTATGATAAATGGAATGAATTTGTTTATGGAAAACAATACGATGAGAGATCGCTTATTAATTGACCATTTGGAGATTCCAAAATTTCGTCATAAAACCGGTTACTGGCCTCTATTATTATCGCGCACATACAAAAACACAAATTATCGGCATAGAATAGAGTATTTTCTTTTGTTTCGTTGCATTGGACTTGTTAAATCACAATGATATAGCAGTGACGACGTCAAATGTTGATCATCACTCAATTTGCATAGTCATTTCAGGTACCTTTGTACAGACTGTACAGTATCACACGCTAAAGTGTTTATTTTCGTGTTAACACACATAAAAAATATTTAAATAAATAGAACTTCCTTAATAAAGTATCAAAATGATGTTTGAAGTAATGCGAAAGTGGAACTAGTATTTAGTTAGACTTTAAATTAGTTTTTTTCGACGATTCATATTGGAAGGGGATAGTGATTTGAATACAAAAAAAACGTGTGAAGAAAAGCACGACTTCTTTCTCTTTAATGAATTTGATCACATGCGTAAGAACACACGTATTTTAGTTGAAATTTCACAACTCGAGATGAAACCACAACAGCCACAATTTTTTTATTCTTTAATCACATTTTTTTTCTCTTTTGATAAATTGGTAAATTATGATTGGGGTAATTCCGAAAATTACAAAACAACAGTTTTTTTTTAATCAGAAGTTTTTTATCATTGATATTATTAACAAAAAATTTCATTTAAGAGTGAATAAATAGGAATATGTGAAACACAACAAATTAAAAAAAAGCATTGTATGATCATCCATGGATGACAAAAAAACGCAAAACTTGAGAGAAAAAAACGCACGACTCCTCTCTCTGCAATTTATATTTGTTTATTCTTTCATTACTACTCCTAACTATAGTTTTTTCTCTTTCGATAAATTTATAAATGGTGGTCATTTGAATTCTTATTATTGCAAATAAAACGGCAATGAATTGTTTATGAAAAAGCAATGAATAGGAAATTCATTCCAACGATGTATAACTTTCCATATGTTTTTGCTCAATTTTGTACACATTGGTCTTTAGACTAAATTCGCTAAAATTTTGCCTGGCTTAGTTTTTGAGTAGTCTCAATCAAATGGTGAGTTATGACCGATTTGGTAGACATCGTCAAATTTTTGGGCGATTTCATGTGGAATTGTCGATAGATTATAAAATGTGTATACATTTAGAAATAAAGAAAATAATTTAGAATAAAAAGTTTCGTAATTAGAAGTAATTTTCGATTGTTTCTTTAATATAGACATTAACAATTAACATAGCTGTATACCCAGCTTGTGCGAATTTCTCTGAATGACCTAAAATCGACAAAATAGATCCTATTTTTTCGTTTTTCAAACTTTATTTTAAAAGAAAACTAAAAATGCAACAATAAAACAACTTACACAAGATTATTTTATTTGAGAATTACTATATTTTGTTGGACAAAAATTGTTTTTTTTAATCTTTTAATGAAATCATAGATTGTTTTACCAATGCTTTTATTTCTGATAAAAAATTCATTCGATGCTATAAATTTATAGCTCTTTATATTCAAACCTTCATGGCAACCTATACAAGTTGAAGATAACACCTTTGATACGCACATATTTGTACGCTTTTTTATTATTTCATATGATGATAAATTTAATTTAAAAATTTCTACGATTTGTTGGTGTCATATTGTATATTAGATTAGTTTGGCACGTTTTCGTTTAAAGTATTATTAATTGACTTATCTATTCGATTTCTATACTAATGAAGAAATTACCTTTGAATTTTGATCAGTGTCACCGTGATAGTGATTGTGAACGGTTTTATTTTTTACCATATAATCAAAATTAAAGGAAGTAAATGTGTTCGAAGAGTTACAACAGATAATAAAATTAATTAAGTCAAAGCATCGCCGTTAATCCGTTCTAAAAATAAAAAACATAATGGATTTTTCGTGTTCATGTACGGTGATTTATATAAGTTTATTAATCACTTTGGGTTTTTTATACGTTAAACGAAAGTACAGTTACTGGAAACGACATGGAATTCAATTTGTACAACCAAAATTTCCGGTTGGAAATTTTTTTGAGATTCAGGAAACCGAACATATATCACAACGTTTGGCAAAATTCTATTTTCAACGTAAAAACGATACGCCAATGCTTGGTCTTTATTTCTTTTGGAGTCCAGTTTTATTAATTAACGATTTGAACTTGATACGGCATATTTCAATTAAGGATTTTCAATTCTTCGGGAGTCGTGGAATCTTTTATAATCAAAAGCATGATCCATTATCGGCGTATTGATTACGATAAATGGCTACCATTAAGATCAAAATTAACTCCAACAAGTGGAAAAATTAAATTTATGTTTGGCACCGTTGCTGAAGTGGCCGATGAACTTATCGCTTGTTTGAATCGAGCCATTCAAATCGATTGTGAAATTGAGGTCAACGAATGGCTTGCTCGTCTAACGACAGATATAATTGGAACTTGTGCATTTGGTATTGAGTGCAATAGCTTGAGCGATCCACAAACCAAATTCCGTGATATGAGTAAAAAGGTGTACCAAAAACCAAACCTGAGTAGATTTCAGCGAACTATGCCCAATTCTTTCAAATCTTTAGCCAAATTATTGCGCGTTCGTGTGCTTCGCAAAGAAGTTTCCGATTTTTTCTTAAACATGGTCAAGGAAACGATTGAATATCGCGAGAGTAATAATATACAACGTAATGATTTCATGAGTCTGCTGATTGAATTGAAAAACGCAAAAAATGATGCGGACCGATTAACAATCAACGAAATTGCAGCACAGGCGCTTGTCTTGTTTTTGGCCGGTTTTGAAACAACATCCACAGCATTGACCTATTGCCTGTATTATTTGGCATTGGACAAATACAAGCATATTCAAGACAAAGCAAGACAAGAGATAGTCACTGTTTTAGAAAAATACCACGGCAAACTAACTTATGAAGCAATTAATGAGATGACTTATATCAATCAAATCATTAATGGTAGGTTATACGATATCCAGTTCAATGAAAATGTGTAAAGAAAACATAACAAAATTATAACTGTTTTTCCACAGAAACACTACGACAACACTCTAGCTCTTCGATTCTTTCACGAATAGCGATCAAAAATTATAATTTACCAAATTCAAATTACACAATACCAGCGGGAATGATGGTTAGTCAATTGTTCACTATTTTGAGCTTATTTTACTCAATAGTTAAACATTTTTCAGATTTTCATTCCAACCTATGCCATTCACCATGATCCAAAATTTTATGAAAATCCAGAGGAATTCGAACCGAATCGATTTACACCTGAACAAATAAAACAACGGCCATCCGGTTCATTTTTGCCATTTGGAGATGGCCCAAGGAATTGTGTGGGTTTACGCTTCGCAATGCTCCAGGCACGAATCACTCTTGTTAAATTTCTGCAAAACTTTGAGATTTTTACCTGTAACAGAACAGAAATTCCAATAAAATACTCACCGAAAAAAGTCTTCCTTCAACCATTAAACAGCACTTGGCTCAAAATTACCCCAGTTAAAGATCGCTTGTATAATGAAACATTTGAAAAGTGATAAAAATTCTATTTTATCAATAATTCCTCTAATAAAACTTATATTTCATATGGCATTTCGAGTCTATGTACCAAGCTATGTAAGATTTAACAATTAACAACCAAAAACTGTTTGTTGCTTTTTTATACAATATAATGAAATAAGATCCTAGATACAATTGTATCTTTGTTTAAACCAGGCTGTGGGTTCGGTATGATTTCAGGTGGCACTGATATTTCTAGCAGGATAGCCGGAGCCTAATACGTATTCTGCATGGTATTCCGAGTACAAAGTCTCTTTCGATAAATTTATAAATGGTGTGGTAATTCCGAAAAACAGATTTCTTTCAATTAGACCAATTTTATTCACATTTCTATGATTTTTTGATAATTAATAATAGATAGTTAAAAAGCAGTTAGCTAAAAATTCTTTCTGTTTCTAAAGGCAAACATTTCATTTGAGACCGAGTAAATTCGGTAAATTTTCAGACTGAATAAATAGAATTATATGATACACAATAAATAGCATTAAGTATTTTCAGATTATAATAAATGTTTGGTTAGAAAAAATTGTCAACTTAATAAAATTCATCATAGATTTATTTATAGAGGTGAAAAGTTGATCAGAGCGTAAAACAATAGAAAAATGTACAAATTCTGCTAGTTGTTCTGAAAGGTGATTGTTTCTAAAAATGGCAAACATTTTTGTGAGTGTAATATAAAATGAAGGCTACATGAATTTTAAATTCATAATGTCCGTTCTTTTGTTAAACGGGTGACATTTGCTTTGAATTCAACGTTCATTGATTTAAGTGTACAAAAACTTGTAAAATTGAGAAGAAGTTTTGCAAAATAAACTGTGCATCAATTTGTTTAAAATTTTGTTTTCATTTCTTGCTTGAGACAATGCTTAAATGCTTCCCATCCTTCGGACTTAGCGACAGACTGAAACGAAAATGGAATTGAAAAATTATTTTACCTGGTCAATCTTTAGCTTAAAAATGTCACACGGAAAAATTTCAGCAGCAAATAAAATATCACAAGCGACTCACCAATATAAACAAAACTAATTGCATCCAAAACAAATCAATCGTGTAAAAAATATATAAAAACGGCAATAAAATTATAAATTAAATAAATGCTTTTTATTTATGTAAAAAAGTATTTTTCCAGTTAAACTGATGGCCATGTCAGTTTTTTAATGTAAAAAATTGACAAAAAATGTATTATCACAATTGTGATCATGCAAACATGTGTTAAAACACATCAAAAACATAAATAAATATATCAAAAATTTACAAATTCATAATTCAAGCAAAAACGTACATCAAAATTTTAAAACAAAATCAAAATAAAATGGCAACAAAAAGATAATTTAAAATTAAATTTGAACATTGCAACACTAACAAAATTTAAATCATAAAAATTAAAATTGTAAAATGGTAAAGTGTCTTCTTAGTTTGCGGCAAGCTCGTGATCGCATAAATGTGGGAAAAGCCAAAATACCATCTTCGTACTCATCAGTCAATTCCTCATTGTATTCAATGCCATATTTACTTACTTTAAAACCACGATGCAAACGATCTTTCATAATTGCAATAAATTCTTTGTAAGATAACATTCCGTCACCGTCTTCGTCAAATATTGCAAACACTGTGTCAACTAAATGCTCAGACAATGTTAGTCCGGTACATATTTTAACTGCTCGAGCAAATTCTCCTGTGATTGATAAAAGAGACAATTATAGAATGAAAGAAGGTCACTGAATAAAAAAATGTCGAAATTATCGCAAAAAGTGGAACCTTTTGAGATTGCTTGATCGCTGAGAGTATACATCCGCATTGCAATTGAAAAATCCTCTAGATTGTTCAAAAACTGACAAAAGTCTTTAAATTCCTTGAAAGATACGCCTTTTTCATGCTTGACACGGTCCAATAACCGATCTAAGTACATATCATATTCGTCAGTGTCCTGCAGAAATGATAAAGTATTTTGTTTTTCAATGGCATCTAAATTCAACTTTTGTAAATTGTAGTCAACTCACCAAATACGTGTATCGAAGTAGAATTTTTGCAAAATCAACTTCGGTGATAGCGATGTTTCCCTTTGAAAAGAATAAATGTCATTATTTTCAAGAAAAATAACATCCATAATAATTTTTTATTACCTTCGAAAATTCATAGAATTCGAGCTCGAGCACCTCGGTTTGTAAGTTATCCATAAATTGGTAAAATCCTTCGTAGTGTAAGTCTTGATTGCCCTTCTTTCCAAAAAAGTGTACCTGTAAGGTTGTATCAACCTTGTGGCGTCGTTGTAAGCCTTCTTCGTCTTCGACATACGTATCCTGAAATATTTAGAAGCAAATATCTTTGAATTCATTTTCAAATTAAGCAAATTGCGGGCGCTCAACTTACATCATCCACCGAAATTCCTCTTTTATCTTTCCAAGCACCAATGAAGATGTTTTCCATCTGAAAAATCATCACAAATTGAATTAGTCTCATCGAAGTTGAACGGATTCAATCAACACAGGTTCCAGTGTATTTATGCAGTGTCTGATTCAATTGTAACTCAATTTACACTTAAGTAACAAAAAAGAACAGATTTCTAAGCCAAATTCGTGTACGACTAATTTTTCACCGACTACTATCCATCGAACTTACAAAACGATTTTTACTTTCACCATTATCTTTTTCATGCGAACGAAGTTCGAGTAATGCTGTCGCCTCTTCTGGAGGTAAGAGCGACATAACCTACATATTCAAAAAGAAAAACCTTTCATCAATTTCGATTGTTCATTTTTCGTTTAAATTTCATTGCCAATCGATGCCAAAGCGCGTGTATTGAAGCTTCTATTTCTCTGGCCCATTGCAAGCGAAACAAACCAACGACGTCATCGACTTGAACTATTGAATGTGCATGCTTGATTTTTTTGCGACGAACGTTGGTATAAAACAAGAACAATTCAGGGCATTTTGTATTTTGGGTCGGAAGTAAGTGCTCGGTATCCACATACGAAACTTGGGCTGCCTAGCTAATATGACCACAATTTTGCTTGTAAAAAATCACAATTTAAAACAATCTAAGGATACGTACTATGTATAAGGATATATACTATTCCACGTGAAATACGTGCACACATAAATGGTGGGCGAATTGTTTTAGGTTGGGTCAGTTGCATTTCACACGTGAACTACATCTAAGTCAAAACGGATTAGTGAAAGCCAAAAAAAATAACATTTTGTTATTTGATTGGTTGAGGCACACTCTAACACGGACAACAAACAATCATGCGAATCAAACATCTCACAATTCGTCGTGTTTTTTGGTCCATCTCCTGTTTGCGATATTGCCCGCCAATTAATCTTCGAATCTATTTACCAATGAAAATTAAGTGTTTCTCTCTGTCTCTTTTTCAATGCCAATTTCGCAATATAAAATTAAAAATTATTTCAATTTTTGTTTTTGAAGAAAAATTAAATTTTTTTTCACATTAAAAAGACACATTTTTGTAGGTACGTTGATATTTATAAGACGAAATTGGAGTTTCTCTTAATTTTTGGTATAAATTGCTACTTACGACTAGAAATTCAGTTTTATCGACGCGTTGATTGCCATCCGTGTCAAACATATTAAATGCTATCTTGAACCCCGATTTTGGTTCTAAAACAACAAAGAAATAGATGAAAAAACACATTTTTGAAATTCTGAAATTTTTCGAGCTGGGAGAGAGTCCAAGACTTACTGGTCAAAATCGAAAGCAAAAAAAGATATTCAGTGTATGATATTATGCCTTTGTCTCGTAAATTGCGAAACATTGACGAAGATCCCTTTTTGAGCGTTGGCGTTACGTCTTTAATTCTATTCACATCATCCAATGTGAGTGTACGTCTCTTTAATCGTGCTGAAAACAGAACACAAAAGAAATAAAACAAATTCATATTAATTTAAAGTAAATAAGAGAACAATATACATTTCTTTACACCTTTTTGGTGGTGTACTGAAGTTATTCAAATTTTGACATTGGCAGTGTCACACTGCGGTGTCTAAAAATGTATATTATTTTCTTTCTGTGCGTATCTTTATAAAACTTACGTCTAGCTTCTTGTTCTACAACGGAGTCTAAAAAGTCTTGTGGCGTCATATACAATTGCCCATCGAACTCAACAGAGGCAAATTTTATGAACCGTCGTTCACGTGATGTTAATTTCACTCCCTTCTCTTCATCCTGAAAATAGAGCAAGAGAAATGTAAGAAGGACAAAAAAACGTGAGAAAACGACACACGTTAATGTGCTTATCGATTGAATATAAAAAAGTCTGAAAGATTTATAACTTATTTTATGAAGATCCTGTGACAAGGATCTTTTGCCTTGAATGCATATGGCTCCTGCTAGCCTACTACCTGCTGTTTATTTACACAATAAAATAATCGCTAACCGCACAATTTCTATTCGCTCAAATAAAAAAAAACGATCAGATAATTTGCTCTCGGGTGGAAAGTCGTTAAAAAATTTGTACCGATCACAAACATCAAGGTAAAAAGAAAGCGAACAAAATGCCGTGCTAGAATTTTACGATGCATCTGTGTGCAGGTACTCTAAATAATGTTATAAATCTTTGTATCTTACTGAATGTCATCCGTTCCACGCAATATTGATTTTGATCGCAAAGAAGGCGGTTTTCGATTTTATTTATGACCGCTTTTTTTCGTGCAGCCGAACTTTCTACACTCAAAATTTGCCGATTTGAAATGAACATAATGCATTTTTTTTTTTGAAACAAATGTGTGGTATGTGTGTGTGTTTTTTCTTGTTTTCGACCATAAAACAAAATACTGACAAAATAGACATTAAAACTATCACAATTTAGTAGATTTATTGGAAACGGATTGAATCACATTCATGACCGTAATCGGTCACTTCGATCCAGTCACAAGTCTGATCTATACAAATGATAAGATTCAATACAACCTTCGCATCGCACAAAACCAACTTTGTAGAAAATTAATTGGCCGAGTGATGTATGGCTTCTGCACAAACAGACTAACGTTCGGTGAGATAAAGAAGAAAAAAAACATTTTGTTCTAAAAAAATCACAAATTTCTTCACCGCATTCGGTACAACGACATTTGGTGTTCAAAATGATCTTCAAATGAATATTCCAATCACTTTTGGAATTAAACACGTGTGTTTTTGGCATAAATTCCGTGAAATCACATCATTTTCGTTTTTTCGATAATTCGTTAGTAGAATATTGTAATAGCATTACCGCTGTTAAACACATCACTATTTCGGTTTTTTTTTAATACAAAAATATTGAAATTTCTTCATGTATTTGAAATGTTAATGAACTGATTGTATTCAAGACAATAAAGGTCAATGGATTTTATTTTGACTAAGAGAAGAATGACACGGAAATAATCCATTCAGTAATAGCAACAGTGACAGTTGTCTATCATCTAGTTTCCGAAATCAACATAAAGAATATGTCACGCAACCGATTCATCATTCATAATGAATCATGTGATACTCCAAATAAAGACACAAAAACCAGCTGCTCTTTAGAAACTTCGCATAATATATCACCGGGCAAAATGAAGTGAAACATTTTGAACTTCTGACTGCAACAGCATTGAATTGTATTTGGTATAAAAATCATGCGAACAATTGAATAAATCAAAAATCGGACATTCCAACGATATTATTGAAGAAAAAAAAGCAGTTTCATCTCGACCACGTACGTACCAAACTAATTCTGTTGGAATTGCATTCCGGAAAGTGTACGAAATCGGTAAAAAGAAGCGCGAGTTAATTTAGTGCAAGCACGTCAGGCGATTGTGATTTTAAAATCTCAAAATAAAAAGACATAATATCTGTCAAATTTGCGTCGATTGAAATATCCATTCGATCCAAAATGAATAAAAAAATAAGTGTGCGTTCGCTTCCCTTTCGCTGTCGACGGTTCGTACAAAATGAAATATAAATGAATTATTTGATTTTGCAGAGAAATGCAACGCATGACGAAAATAATGATGTAATTGATTTCTCGTGCAGTTTGACAGGTGGTTTGGGTATCCAGGTCTACAGCAGACGCAAACACTGATCAAATCGAAGAAAACAATACACAGAAAACCGGCAATGAAAAAATTGAATTCACGAAGCAACAGTCTTTGAATTCCGACAATGGCAAACTTATGCGCGCCACAGTGAGTGTGCGATTTTCTGTTGACTTGTTTGCGTGTGGAACTTAATTCATCTTTAAACGATGCAAAATGCACCACAAGAGAAGCAAAAAAGAGATGTAAATTCTTCGGTCCGGTTGGAAATGTACGTTTTGCCGATAACGATGACTGCGACGAAACCGAAAACTTTCTTCGATTTTTTGGACACGCTCTTCATTATCCCGCCGAGCGAAACGTGTTCGACGAAGAAAAATGAGGTGAAAAGTAATTGCAATTTTTTGATTCGGTAATGATAATATGCAACCGAATCGAAAATCCTTATTAACGGTCGGATTCTTTTTTTTTTCTTTTTTCAAATTGAATCTTGTTGTGGATATGAACCAAAACGGTACATTCGATTAAAATGTTAACCGCATTATTTCGATTTTTTTTGGAGGTGATAAACAAAATGGGTAATGATGAATACTTTTTTTTAAATTTATTTCGACACAAAATTTAAAAATGAACTTTGAATGTTTTACATATGCAAGCATTGTATCAAAGCTGTTCGTCGGAATTCAATTTAAATTGGATGAAATCCGTTAACATGGAATTTTTATTAGAAAATAAATGATAATTTATGTGCTGTACACGGAAACGATGCCGTGATTTATTTTTAGACTTGAAGCAAATGTGTCAACGACATTGACAATATTAACATTCGTTTCTTGTTCTTAATCTATTCAACCTGTTGCACAGAATAATTTATGACCCACATCGTACAGCGAACGCTGTTTTGATAACGCAAAAATCAAAACGTAAAGAGAAAAAAAGCGATCGTAATAAGGTATTATCAGCTAAAAGTGTGACTAACATGCAAAATTGAGATAAAAAGTCGGGTGCATTTGTTATGAAGGATTGAGAATCGATGGAAATCTTCGTTTATTCCACAATTTGTAGTCATATACATTTCATTAAAATGAATGGCGCACAGTATCTTCAAGTGCAAAGATAGTTTCTCAAACCGATCGAAATCACTAAATAAATAAGACGGTAACAATGAAATGTGGCGCCAAACGATTCATTTTCAAGTGTGCCCACGGTGTTGTTGTTTTTTTTATCTTTCTTTGCATCGGCATTGATACCGTCAACCTTTTGTGTTGGCATTTGCGCTCGACATTAACTAGAAAATCTAATTAATCGATTCGAAATCTGACTCTCTTCGATGTTGGCAACCTAGTTGCTAGTAGCTGGTGAAACAGTTGCATACAAGATATGATATTTCAATTGCACACCAAAAAGGCACACACACACTTGCAATGAAATAGAAACAAATATCTAGAATATGCTGCTGCCATCACGACGATAGAGCGCCGATAAATAAAATGATGTCTTTTTGTATAGCCGTAGAAGGGACACACCGCATGCAAATGAAATACAGATGAAATGAATAATATATCGACGGTGTGTGTTTATGTGCTAGCGGGAGTGCAGTATGTTTATCCAATGAATTTATGTTGCAATATTTATACCAAACAAACGACTTAATTCGAATTTTATCAGCAGCTCGGCTTCCACAACACACACAAAAACTGTACACTGAAAATAGCTTTGATAGCACATAGTTCAAGCGATGTACCGCTTTTTTGTAATCAAACTCACGTTGTTTGACTCTCAGCAGAGATCTTCGATTTCAGCACATAGACACAACAAATACGGATTAAAACGAAGAATTTTTTTCCCAAAAGTATTATTTATATATATATTGAGATAGCCCGACGCATATTTTATGAACGGATTTTATTTATGTGAAATACAAATAATATCCTATCTCTTATTCGTATCGTTTCATTCGACCACTGGTCACGTGTGTGAATTGGGCACAAAAACATCACCGCTTCATCTATGAATAACAACGATAAAATTATTTCGCCATAAATGGACAATCATAGAAAAATTCATGAAATTTATTATTGTGAAGGTTAGTGTTGTAAAAAATGATCGCTATAGGGGTTTTGTTTTCTTTTGGCTTCGCAAAAAAACATGTCGAATGTATCGATTTCCTGTCCTTTATTTTCTAATTCAAATCGAACATTTATCAAATAAAAAAAATAGACCGACCAAAAATTCCACTGAAACAAATGAGCAGACGTGCCGATGCGCACGAAATCTACTCCAAAATTTCCACACAGTTTCTATTTGTTCTTCCAATAATTTTATGACGCACAGTGATTTTTATGGGTTTTCAACTCAATCAAAAAGTTCATTTCAAATAGAGAAACGAATGGACAATGTCAATGAACTACAGTTCGAAACTACGATTTATTTCGATCATGATCTTGAAAATGGGCGCATCTTTTGATCGAAAGGACAATTTCGCCAAGATCAAAATAATAGAATTTTATAGCTTAGAATTGAAAAATTATTCCAATTCAAATATGAATGGAACTCGGAATATACATAAATCGCATAACATCTCAATACGAAAAAAACTCTTCGTTTTATATTCCAATTCATTTATTTGGGCCTCTTAATTAAACCGAGAAACTTGCTTCGAACGTGTTACTTCGTTAAACAGTATAATTATTTTATAGCCGTTATGATTTATGATCGTTAAATAAGGGTGATTTTGAATTCGATTTTTATGGGTCCTTTTGATGCATGGGTTAATTATGTGACCATTTATTAAATTTAGTGCGATGAAACGAATCGGCCGCGGCTTTTCAACAAACGAATCATTTCGATATGCGTACGCTACCGCATAAAGTAACAATCGACTGTCTCTAGTGAAATAATGCTGATTATAACGAAGTCGATTTGTTGTTGTGCACTAAAATAGAATGTTAGACACCCCGAAGCATGATCAAAATTAATTGGTTCAATTTATTTGGTGCGATCTCGATTAATTTGTTATAATAAATTTCATTTTGTTGTATTTGATTCATGCCAATGATGATCGTGTCTAGCGCACTACTAGATTCTCTTCATGCTCTTGAATTGCCAAGAAAAATTAAGTGTAAAAAAAAGTATGAACATCCGTTCAAAAGTGGGATCAACAAACTCAAA